TAAGGACATAGTCAATAAGGAACTTATATACAACAATCAAAATATTTGTGATATTCTGTCTTTATGAATTACTATTTCTATATTTTTATATATAAATAACTTTTAAAAAAAAGTGGCAGGAGAATAATGGTCATTCAGACACTTGGCCTATGATAAGATACTTTTGAGTTGTCTGTCGAGTACTTCAAGATTTTATCTGATTCTTCACGTGTCATTTCTGAAGATACAGACCAATTATGCAGGCATAACAGATACAACTATACATTTATTTTCTTTTTTCTTTTCTAGTTATCTCGATTAATGAGCAATTAAAGCAAACGCCAATTACAACAACAGTTAATAGAATAAGATAACTGCATCAGTTAGTAAAATAGATGGTGTGCATGTAATGTATTGTATTTATAAATTATTGTTCTGATGTAGTTGTATTTATATTAGGACGTATTTTTTTCCTAATGTTTTAGGTTGTATGTGGGTGTTTGTATACAGAAGACCTCTTCTTCTAAAACACATTTCTTCTAAGGGAGACAATCCAACCTTTAGACAAGAAACAATATAGACAGATTTGATGGTTTATGGCATTTAAAGGACTGAAAGTCCATTAAGCGACTGACTTGGAAAAAAACTCAAGCGAACACAACTTTCAACAAAAAAATTGATTAGACCTTAAATGTTAGACTTTATGATTATTTCCAACGTTCACACAAAGCTTTATGAAGCCAAACTTTAAGATTTGTTTTGACTAACTTTAGTAGTTAACTCTCAATAAAATCGTTTAACTTCATATTGGTTTGTTTAACTGCATCAACAATAGCTCAGACCTCTCTTTGACAGAAAACACGTGCGTCTAACGAAGTGACAATTCATTGGGCGCTCCTTCCGATTTATTTGTGTGCGTGACCACGCCTCAGCCGTATCGCGCAATCCGATTGGTCCACTGAAGCAGCGTGAGTGGTTGCATCGCTGAGGTCAAAGGACGACGTCCAGAAGTAACCCCCCCTCCTCGCATCACACCACCGTGATGCTGCTGTCAAAGAGGCTGGAACGACAGAGCCTGTATCATTATGCTGCTATATAGCCAATAAACCATCACCGAGGAGGAGATGGCCTTCAGTTAGGAGGGAATTCACTCAGCTGAAATTAAAACGTCCGTCTACACGCCTCAGAATTGCTTGCAGACTCCTTACGCACGGTGAGTAACGTACATAAGCTTATTACCGGGAGCAAGTTTCTGCTAGCTGCACATGACACTGCACATTCTGGATGGATTTATTCAATACGAACAGCGACTTTTCTAGCCAAACAATGCAGACAGAGGGGTTGTGATGTTATAAGTTAGCATATGTGCTATGCGAACATACCGCACTGTTTCTCGCTGTAAGTCAACAGACAGCTCAAATGTTTGAAGTATGATAAAGTTATGACTTGTATGCGCACTAAATGGAGCTTCGTAATGGACTGATCATATAATTGAGTCGTAGTGTCTGTGTTACATGGTTTAAAAGGAGTGTTACACATGGTTAAGGGTACGCGATGCTCGAGACTCGTTTGTCAGGTTCATCAGGCTGGATGAGGTGCGGCTGTATTTTTACATGTGTCAGTCCTGCATTAGTTGCTAAATCAAGGTAACGTTACAGTAATCGGACGTGATTCAGGTAAAGTTGGTTTTATTTTGGCACATTCGAACTTTATGTTTAATGATATCATTTCAGAAAAATAGTTTTTGCTAATTTTAAATGGGGAAAATCATGTTAGCAGCCTAGTACAACAATGTTCACAGCCAATTAAATAATGCTAATGCTGTTTTGAAGTCATACCTACATGCGATTTCAGACTGAATATTTTAAAGTAGCGTGGTAAACAATACAGGCACAGTGTCACATGTTGTCACTTTAAAAATTAACGAATTTGCGAACATGAAACAAACTACTTCAAATCGGACGTGTTTACATGCAGTTTTACGTAAGGTAACATACACTAGCTCTACTCTTTCAGATTTGTTTATACATTTATAGTATGAGAATAGAGTATTATATCACACAATGGCATTTCAAAGAATTACAAAAAACATATGTTGTCGTCAGGTTTGTAGAGTATAACTTGTTTATAACACCATAAATATATTAAATTGAATGTAAATGGTCTACTTCGATGATTCAGATAGCTTTTGTGAAAACAAAATGTCATAAATATTGATGAAGTGAAAAATTCCAATTATTTTAATCAGCTTAACGGATATATTTTTGTAAAACTAAAGCAATACACATATTATGATCTGTACTTATTAAAGTGCATTAAATAATAAATAAAACAACTGAGGGTTTATGGCATCTGAAAGACTGACTTGGACAAAAGGTAAAAACGCATTCGGACATTCTTTTTGATAATCAAATTTCGTAAAACATATTATTTGCTAATTCTAAATAGGGAAATCATATTAGCAGCTAATTATTATTAAAGTACAAACATGTTTTCAGTCAATTAAATAGTGCTAATGTTGTTTAAGTCATACCTTTCAAAGTAGCGTGGTAAAAAATACAGGGACAGTGTCACAAGTTTTCACTTTAAAAACGAACCAATATGCGAATGAAAAAAAAATATTTCTATTTGAATGTGTTTACACATGTAGTCATACGTAAGTTAACATACACTAAGCTCTACTCTTTCCGAATTGTTTATACATTTACAAAAGGAAAATAGAGGATTATATCACACAACTGCATTTTAAAGAATGACAAAAACATGTTGCAATCATATTTTAGAGTATAACTTGCTAATAACACCATAAATATGTTAAATTGAAAGTATAATGTCTATTTCATAGTTCAGATAGCTTTTGTAAAAACAAAATGTCATAAATATTGATAATGTGCAAAATACCAATTGTTATTCAGCTTAACGGATGTATTTCTGCAAAAAATGAAGCAATACACATATTATGACCTGTACTTATTAAACTGCATAAAATACCTAATCATAGTAAATTAGATAATATTTTAATAGGCCCTGCTGACAAATGGGCATACTGGGTAGTATAAGATTTAATATGACACTTCACCAATATTTTAATGCTGCACAGTAAGATTTTAATGTCATTAATGTTAAATGATTCATGTTAATAATATGCCAAGACATTTAGTTCTTCATTGTTTTTGTCTTTGCTCCATATTTTAAAAGCAGTACAGATATAAGGTATCCTCCCATCAGGATTTTCGGAGCCAATGCAGAGTACCGATTCCTTGTCATGGTGATCGCCCGTTACCAAGTACCGATTTTGATGCTTCAAGCTTTATATAACTGTAAAATTGCATAAAGCACATTTTTTCTTTAAGTATGATACTTAAGTGGAGATCTCTTCTTTGCTAAGTGATTAAAACACATCTCTTACAACCATTTAGTGTGGACACGTCATGGTCAGAAGTAGTTTACAGAAAATACTAGATAAAACAGATTTAAAAAATTGCTAAGAAAAATGACTAACAATGCAATTTGAAAACATTTCAAATGATGGAAAAAGATTTCAACATGCTTCAATGAAGAAAAAGTTTGGAATGCATATGTAGCACAGTGCTTCCATTAGATGATAAATAAATAAATAATTTAGTTTTACTAGCAGTTTATATATTTCATTCATTGAAAAAAGTTCATTTGTTGTTGTTTAAAAGATTTATATGTATATTATTGTATTTCTTTTTGTTTGGTTAAATCTTTGTAAGCCACTGACTAACTAACACTGTCAAATGTGAATTTATGTTTTCATATTTAAATTGTATTTCTTAAATAAATAATACAAGTGATTTAATTTAAACAATCTCTTTTTCTGGGTTATTAAACAGGCATACATTTTGTAAATATATCAAGGCAAAGCTCTTAGTGTCATTTAAAATTCTGTGGTTATAACACAGGGTTCCACAAATTATTTAGTCAAGAGACAACCTAATTAGAACCTGGGAGTGCCCTAAGTGCACAGTAACTAATTCTGTGAGATAAGAGGGCGCTACACATATTTGATGCTTAAGAAGTTAACATGCATCTTTCTCTGCTTGTAAACCTAAACAAACACTTGTGATCACTTCATCTGATCAGCCAGATAAGCGAGTACCGATCAAGTAAAAAAAGTGTGCTCTATACTTTACAATGGGCATAGTCTTTTAGATAAGATGTTAAACCGGGGTTCTGACTCTCTGTGGTCGTTAAACATCCCAGGATGTCCTTTGAAAAAGAGTTGGGGTCTAAGCCTGGCATCCTGGCCAAATTTGCCCACTGGCCTCTGTCCATCATGGCCTCCTAACCATCCCCATTTTGTAATTGGCTTCATCACTCTGTCTCTCTCCACCAGCCCGCTGGTGTTTGGTGTTTGGTGTGTGGCCTGGCACAATATGGTTGCTTTCACAATGGTGGAACATGAGGAAATTCCCCCAATGTGTTAAGCTCTTTGAGTGTCTAGAAAAGCGCTATATAAATATAAGGAATAATAATAATTATTATTATTATTACTATTATTATTAATATTATATACTTTTGTCTAATTAAATACTAAATGATTGTTATTTTATTTTTACATTACTGTTGTTTAACTAGGAAGTTTCATTGAGATTTAAAATCTCTTTTACAAGAGAGAGACCTGACCAATGTAACAGCCATAGAGTAAAACAATTTTAAAATACTAGAACACCACATTACAACAACATTTTATCAGTCCTCTCAACAACAGCAATCACATGCATCCAAAACAACTCTCTTTATAATGCCTTTAAATTCATCGATTTCGTTTTAAGTCTTCTGCAACTGATTCCATGCCCAGGCAACACAATAAGAAAACGCAGTTGTTCCCAGTTATGTACAAACTCAAGTATATTTAAAAGGTATATTAAAAAGCAAACACTTGGACAAGTGTAGCTAGCAATTGCCAGAACTAAGACAAAGAACTTTAAAAATCTATTTTTTTGCACCTTCTCTCTTCTTCTGTAGTGCTTGCAGCCTGCCAGCGTGGCCGAACAATGGCAGAGCAAGACTCCACCGAGAAGAAACTTCCAGCTGTGGCTGCGCTGCACTCTCACTTCATCGTGGGCTCTGTGTCAGAGGAAAACTCTGAGGATGAGACCGCAGGGAAGCTGGACCTGCAGCTGGAGGACAATCCACGCTCCCTTTCCCCCTCCTCCGTCAGTTCAGATAGCACTTATGAGATGGGCTTCGACAGCCTGGACGGACCCTTGCACAATATGAGGTCAGACATGCTTTGTGCTCTCGTGTGCATTCTGTCACCGATGTCCACTTTCACCAACTTTGTATCATGTTTTCTCTCTCTATTGCAAGAAATCAGGGACATGGCCTTTGAAAAGGCTTGCTTGCAAGATAAAACTAGGGCTTGTTGTCTAAATAACAGATTACATTTCTAGGCCCGAATGTGAATGAGAGAAGTAGGCAGCAGCATTGTGCAAAGTGGTGGCTTGAGGAGACTGGGTTTGTGAAAGGTCATCTGGGTTCGTCTTTTTGCTGTGTGAAAATGTGCACAAGCAACTCTCTGTGCGTTTGGTTAAGTTCTGTTGGATTGCCAGGCTTTGGCAGCGCTTTCGTCTCTATGCCTACTGGGGTCTCACACAGACATGTCAGAAGAGTCTGTGTGCGTGAGTTTGTTTGTCTAAGTGGTAAGGCTTCAGAAATGGGTTGGAATTAGCCTGGAAGTAGGGCTACACGATATTGGAAAAATCTGATATTTTGATAAATATTGCGATATGAAAACAGTTTGAATGCCACTATTTGATCGTTTTCTGGGGAGTTGCTTTATCTCGTTTCTTGTTAGTAACAAGAAGGTTTTGTTTTCAACTTCAAATGAAATAAGTAAATTAAAAATTAAAACATGCTAATTTATCTGCCAGTGTTGTAAGTGAAATAACCTTGTTTTTGCTTTAAAATGTAGATATTTGCATTAAAAAACTTGTAGGCCGATATAAGATTCTGACGGTATGATTACCTTGGATAAAAATATCATGGTTTCACAATATTGTGATTACTGCTCTAAAATATATTCTTTTTGTATGTCTTGGTAAAAATCAAAAACTTTTTTTCCCCCTTTGAACAAAGTACATTTTATTTTGAAAAACCTTTATAATATTTTAGAGCAGTAAACATGTTAGGCTAAATAATTCAAATAAATCATAGACTTCTGCTGTCTTCATGTCATGTTAAAACACAGATTTGTTTACTATTAAAAATGGCATCTTTGGATGTATTTTCTGCTGGATATACTGTTGTCCTAAAGAACAAAAAAAAAAAAAGAAAGAAAAAGAAAATCTTACACATGCACTTAGGATCGGTAAAGCAGATAATTTTGCCTGTTTTAAAACCTTGAATTTTCCAAACCGCCATATACCTTGAAAACAGTTTTCGTCTCATGCCAAGAAACAAGACAAAATTCGAAGTAAGAGAAGTATTTTTTTGCATATATTATATAAATACGGTAATTAAATACACTCCTGTAGCTTCTGGTTACCTATAATTCAGACTCGACATGATTGCAAATCTTGTGATGTGACTATTGCTGATGAGCACTTGGCTATATCGATGGTAAAGTGAAGTTTCATAAACTAATTTCAAGAGGAGCACGTGATATAATTTAGCACTGCTGGCCACTCATCTGTAATCAGTAATAATCCTGTCAGAGTGATCCTAGCTTACTATAAATGGATCACTTTCTCCTTATTGCTCTATCTTCATTTTGAAAGAATCCCCCCTGCCACCCCATCTCTTCCTTTTCCTCCCTTTTTTAAAGGGGGAGCTATCGAGACCTACCTGATCTCGGATCTCCTGATATGCTTATTGACCGGACGGGAGCCCTGGGCTCAAATATCTCCCAGCTCAGTGTTGTCTCCCGGGACAGCATGCCAAACCTGCTATAAATGCTAAGCATAGCTAAGTGGGAACTCTTGAAACTATATATTGTGCAGTCCTACTTGGAGGCATGACAACTTAGATTGTTGTACATTGGTCAATGATCTGGGCTCTGATTTATAAAGCTTGCTTACAAATCCTGGTAAAAGTAAACATACATCAGAATACATTACATTTTTCATAAATTATTTTTATTATGGCTTATTTGATTAATTTCAGTGGTTAACTTGCATCAATATTTTAGACAAGTTTTGGGTGGGAAGTGGAGTACACGTGTGTCTGCTCCATTTATTTTAAACTGTATACTATTAAATGAGACCCGAGGACTGTTGGTGTTGGCAAATAGTTCAGTCTAGGTCCAGGCATACCTGCCAACACTCCCGTTTTTCCCGGGAGTCTCTCGTACAGTCCCCATGTGCGCCGAACCCAACACGCAACCATCTCTCCGTTCTTCAGTTCGCACGCCCCCCCCCCCTTATTTATTTTATTTACATTTTCAAGTAGATTATTATGAAATATTAATATTAGGCATTTAAAATATGTTACTATGATATATACTGTTAAATAAATATATAACTCCGGCATTTCATTCCCTTTCCATAAAATAACTACCACATATTTATATTAAACCACACAGACTTCAGTCTTTAACATTGCCTCTCAGGTTTAAATATATCTGTTTTGGCTTTTACTAATGCTATAAAAAATAAGATTTGTCTGCGATTAAATAAAACTGTCTGGTTTTTACGTTGGGGAACACGTGGCTACCCTTTGTACTAATTACCAGACCACATGCAGACAGGCCTGATTTCTCAGTACGGCAAATTTGCTGTTTAAATGCTGCCTCAAAGGAACACACACCATTTATTTAGCAAAATAATAAAGTAATACTCTTTGCAGTGTGTTTTTGTATTTGTGAATCAACTTACTATTATTTAAATTGATAAATGTGTCCTTGTGTTTAACTCTGGTCTCTTATAAGCAGCTCAGAGAAGGGTTACTGGATGGGGTGGCGATGCTGAAACTGCCTGAGTGGGGCAATACACACCCCTCCTCCACATAAAGCTCCACTATTGGTCAAGAGGAGGGGCTTGGGTGGGCAAGTGTTAAGGAAGTACAGAACATTCCTTTTGCCGAGAGGTTAGAGTAGGAAGATCGAGAGACACACCAGCCCTTCCCCCTTACAGGATCTCCTTGTGTGTGCCAACACTTCCGACATGACGCAATACTGTAACTTTAGGCTAAACATTAAGGCCGTGTTAGGAATACCATGCTGATACTTCTTTTTCTGCAGTATGCATTTTCTCTGTCCTAAATTGACACATTAACATGTATTTTGTAAGTTTCCTATGATTAGGCCTGGGCGATATTGCCTTTAAAAAAAAAAATCCCTGTTTTCTCTGTCTTTTAAATAATAATAAAAAATCACCTCACAAAAATGCTTGGAGTTGAATGTTATTAACCTTACCATAATATAATTATAGGATATAAAAATGCTCAAAAAAGCTTTTAAAAATTAGTCTAATATTTTTTAAAAATTAGTCTTAGTCTTTTTATTAATATGGGGTCGCCACAGCGGAATGAACCGCCAACTTATCTAGCACATGTTTCACACAGTGGATGCCCTTCCAGCTACAACCCATCTCTAAGAAACATCCATTCACACTCACTCACACTCGTACACTATGGACAATTTAGCCTACCCAATACACGTGTAGCACATGTCTTTGGACTGTGGGGAAACCGGACCACATGGAGGAAACCCAAGCGAAGGCAGGGTGAACATGCAAACTCCACACAGAAACGCCAACTGACCCAGCTGAGGCTCGAACCATCGACCTTCTTGCTGTGAGGCGACAGCACTACTGCGCCACTGCATCGCCCGCATACAAGACTTCATTTATTCATTCATTTTCTTGTCTGCTTAGTCCCTTTATTAATCTGGGGTCGCCACAGCAGAATGAACTGCCAACTTATCCAGCAAGTTTTTACGCAGCGGATGCCCTTCCAGCCGCAACCCATCTCTGGGAAACATACACACATTCACACATACACTCATACACAACGGACAATTTAGCCTACCCAATTAACCTGTACAACATGTCTTTAGACTGTGGGGAAAACCAGAGCACTTGGAGGTAACCCAAGCGAACGCAGGGAGAACATGCAAACTCCACACAGAAACGCCAACTGAGCCGAGGCTCAAACCAGCGACCCAGCGACCTTCTTGCTGTAAGGCGACAGCACTACCTACTGCGCCACTGCTTCACCGCATACAAGACTTATGTAATAATTATATAAATTAATCCATTTTATGCAATTGAGCAATTCCAGCATTATGGATGTGACATTTGCAGTAAAAAAAATAATAAATTCAAAAAAGTATGTTAACATTATATTAAAACATCTGTTTATATTTTCAAAAATAAATACCCACAGAGTTATCAGAAAAGGATCAGAAAAATATCAATCTGTAAACATTTTTTTTAACCAGGCGTTATGGATGTGTCGAAAAAGATTAGCGAGATTACAGTCTACCACAAACTTTCTGTGAATTAAACTGCACAACCCAAAAGAATCAATGCTAGTCAAATGGATAAGAGTTACCTCCTGATAGATCAATAATGATTGTTTTTATTTTATTTGGCATTTTTTGCAAACAAAAGGAAAAAGCTTCACAATGGATGTGACACCTCACCGTTATGGATATGACAGATGTGAAATTGGCACTTGTGTGACTCTGGTAAATCAAATATAATTGTCTGAAAACATTACCAAAGACATTTTTGAGTATTTGTAAAGCACTGTTAAATGCTTGCTTGCACAAAAAGCAATTTTGGATATTTTGGCCCAAACCTAATTTTTTTCATGGCAAGGTTGACCGTTGCATGGAATTGCTCAGCTCAGCGAAAGTAAACAGTGAAAGTACAGTGAAAGTAAGCTCATATGATTGTTAAAAAGGGGATCTATTTCAAGAGGGTTTTTTATGAACATCTATTCAGAGTTTTATAAATTTTTACTTCGTGTTATATCAGTTCATGTAAATTATTACTCATATTAGGCTAATGAATTTTCAGTGTTGATATCTACTGTAATGAACATCTTTGTTGCTGGGTCACATCATTTATTCGGAAACAGCAAAATTGGATTCCATTGGATTCCAACATTTGATCAAAAAGGGTTCCTGTCATATGTGTGTCTTTATATATATATATATATATATATATATATATAATTATTTTTTTCCTTAGAGATGGGTTGCGGCTGGAAGGTCATCCGCTGCGTAAAAACCTGCTGGATAAGGATAAGTTGGCGGTTTATTCCGCTGTGGCCACCCCAGATTCGGATTAATAGAGGGACTAAGCCGACAAGAAAATGAATTTTGCTTTGACTTGAAATGGGCCGGTATAAAATTCGTTGTATGATTACCTCGGACAAGTGTATCACAGTTTCACGGTGTCTTACTTTAAAAACTTTTTTGACCTTGAACACAACATATTTTTTAAGAAACAATTAAAAATAGTTAAATAACATTTTAGACTAAATAATTAAATAAATAATTTTTGTTTTCTGCTGTCAATTCTTTAAGGTTATAAACAGTTTTCTTCTGGAGATAATTTTTTCTAATAAATTTAATTAAATAGCCTTAACATACACAAAACCTAACAAACAATTATTTTTTTTTATTTATTTTTTTTGCAGTTTTAAAACCTTGACTTTTTCCAAACGATGGTAAACCTTGAAACAGATTATCGTCCCATGCCTAGCTCAATGAAAAATTTGGTCTGTATACAGTCCATGAGTAACACTCCCTTGTGAAAGCAAAACTTATATGATAGTCATATGATTGTAATAGTTTTAATCCTTCTTTCACAACAAAATACTACAATGCACAGGTATCAAAATTCTTCCAATTAAACTTTAGGGCTTAATAATGCAGAGACCTCCAATATTTTGTCATGTATCAAATGTGTTGTGCTGTCTTTTGCCATTTTATTATTGTCACTCTTCTCATTTTTGCAGTAAATTCTGAATATTAGCGTGTTAATTCTGAAACTTTTATCTGTGTCTAGCAGCATGACAATTTAAACCTTCACTGAAATGAAAAGTGCTCTCTTTATAGTTTCTAAAAGCTGTCTGCAGTAGCGAAAGCAATTGCTCTTTTAGCAGTTCTGTCAGAGTCAGCAGTGCTGTCAGTTGCCTAACCTAGCTTTAGTGTTTAGTCTTGTTGCATTTATTGTTTCTCAGGCAACCTTGGGAATTATGATGGTGCTTTTGTGTCTTTCTTAAGGCCTAGCATGTCAGGACTTCACCTTGTGAAGCAGGGTAGGGACCGCAGACGTATCGACCTGCAGAGGGATTTTACTGTTGCTTCTCCAGCTGAGTTTGTCACCCGCTTCGGTGGAAACAAAGTTATTGAGAAGGTAAGATCTTTCACTGGCATTTTATGTGCAGCTATTTACAGAATGCGTAGTGTAATTTAATATTATTTTTTAAATATTTTTTTAAGTTAATGTTGTTTTTTGTTTTAATATTTTGTTTTTAATTATTATTCCTTTATTTATATATTAATTTTATTTGTTTTTATTATTTTTATTAACTATTTATTAAGTCTCATTGTCTAAATTTAGTCACATATTAAGTAATTGCGGGCATTATCTTAGTTAATATTAGCTAAAAAATGTAAAAATATATTATTTTATTTGTTTTTATTATTTAATTAAAAATATAATTGATCATAGCTCATGCTAGCTCAGAATCATTAAAATATTAATCAGATATAACCTTTGATTTCAGCGTTTCTGAAACATATTGAAAAGTAATGTGAGGACTAATAAATGGTTGAAAACAAAATGCATAATTTTGTAATACATGTGATGTAATGTAATGTTGACATTGATAATTTTTGCTAATTTTTAATTATATATAGGGGTGTAAAGGATCACAGTTGATGCGTATGAATCACAACCCACAGTTTGGAATGCACGTGACCTGTGGATTAATAACTTTTTTTGAACTTGTAGTTTAATCCAACATTTATAACAATTGCAGAGATATCGCCTCCCACGCGCCTTCCACATCCAAATCACGTGTATGAAAGCATTTTGGCTTCCCTGTAAAATATAATGATGATGGAAAAAGTTGTGGTGGGACCTAAATGCTTTCTTAGGTTATTAATTAAAGGTGTTTTCTGTCACTGTTTGTTTAGCCTGCATAATGTGTTCAGTGTAAGCTGCACAATTAAATATTAAAAGATCAGGATCAATTCAAACTCGCGCAACATGATAAATGATAGTGACTTCAAATCTGTGTTTGATCGCGAGAGATTTATTTATTTTCACACTTTTTTTTAATTAGTAACAAACAATGAAATGACACTGAAGTACTGGGAGAACAGTTTATAGTTCAGATATAAACACTGATGGTTATGGTAAAGATTAAAATCCCTGTTTAGTGGAACCTGACGCTGCTGAATGTAGCAATTACATTGTTTAACCAATAGGTGGCGACAAACAACCATCAAAATTACGTCACTGAATCGGTTTATAAAAATGATCCACCTATAGTAAAACATAAGGTTTTATGTTTGAATTTTTAAGTCATTCATTGAAAATAAATATGATATGTTGTGCAAGATGTTAGATTTCTATGTTTACCATTATCAGCAACAGTAGCAAAGATAATTTTTTGTATTTAATATTTTCCTTTTATCAGCTGGTTCCTTCTGGGTTTTCTTTGTATTAAAAATACTGCTTCTAACTTCTGTTTGTTAAAACCAATGGTTTTTGCAGTAATATTTTTTTAGAGCTGGAAAGCAAATGACATTTGTCTCCTCTCTTTTTTTGCTGATCTGAAAAATGGTCCGATCCGTGACTCAAAAACCGTAGTGTGATCCGAACTGTGAGATTTGTGATCCGTTACACCTCTAGTTATACAGAAAAAAAATTGTATTATAATTTATTTTTAACCATTAACCGGTTATGACATTAGCATAATATTATGATACTCTTTTGACAGGTCCTTATTGCGAACAATGGCATTGCTGCAGTCAAGTGCATGCGCTCTATCCGACGCTGGGCTTACGAAATGTTTCGGAATGAACGGGCCATACGCTTTGTTGTCATGGTGACCCCAGAGGACCTTAAAGCTAATGCAGGTAAGTTCAAAAATTCACCAGAGGAAACCTGTAATAAATAAACCAATGATGCACTGAAATTCTGTATTTTAACAGAAATACAGTAAATTGATCTTTTTTTTTATTGTTTAAACTATGTCAGTAAGCATTGTTGGCACAGGCCTGGCCTAATTTGCATACAAAGTGTTTAGCGAGGCAGAAGTGATTTGTGCACACAATTAAAAACTTATGCAAACATAACTCAATCCACAGAGTACATCAAGATGGCAGATCACTATGTGCCTGTGCCAGGAGGGACAAACAACAACAACTACGCTAATGTGGAACTCATCTTGGACATTGCTAAACGAATTCCTGTTCAAGTAAGTGGACATGAGCATTGATAAATGCTGTTTAGAGCTAATAAAGTATTTGGACAATTATAGAACACATTAAGAACAGTTCACCCCCCGAAAAAAAAAAAAAATTCTATCATCATTTACTTATAGATCATTTAATTTTTACTTGTAAATTAAAGTTGTACACCATATAAACAATCAAACATATCTCTTGACATCAGTTAAACCGCTTGATTATGGATTGGTTTTTACAAAACCTCATATCCTCTTTGTATCTTGTTTTCTGTGCATTAACAGAAGCTTCTAGATGTTAGAGGTCTTGCATGTTTTAAAGGGTTAAATCAAATTTTGAATATAATATAAGCAATTTATAATTTTACAGGGATATAAAATGATAATAGAATTTTTGATGTCTTATGAGATGAAATGTTTATTATATTATACTTCTATACAATAGACAAGGAATAATAAATGTATTACTGTGTGTTAAAGAATTTACAATGCAGAGAATGCACAAATGCATGACAAGCAGGCAAAGATCTGCCCAATGCAGTGCGGAGGGTGGTAACCTCTGCATTGAAAATCCTTTATTAAATGGCTCTCTGGAAATCGCTTGTTAAGTGTGAAGTCATGCAAAGTGGCTTGCAGGTCCAAACGCTCTATCAAACTGTATGGGGAGACTATGGTAATGGTAATGGTAACAAATGGTAATAATAAATATTTGCAAAGCGTTGTAATACTTTCGAAAATCATGATCGCATTATGTATACTTTATATATGCCTAATAAGGCCAGAATGGGATTCATTTTTATAAATTGTAAAAATATTGCTGTCAGTGATGCAGCAAGTCCGGATACTGCTGTGTACGCTATGATTGGATATAAAATTTGCTTTAATGTGTGATAGGACTAACAAGTGCTCAAAAACTAATATTTTCTGAATTCAAATTAGTAGCGGCTTGGACCCGGAAACAGTATTCCATACGTCACGAATTAACAAGCGGATACTTGATTCTGATGTTATTCCGAAAGCGGATACATGTTATTCCAAAATAACAACCACTGAATTACACAGGCTTATCCGGGTATTTTGAATCATTCACCATCAGTGAATACATTTACATGGATTTATAAGCTACGATTCTTTTTCTCCGCTGCTGTTTTTCGGTGCCATCTTATGATTGAATTATATGCATATTAGTGTATGCTCCATTCAGCTGTTTCATTCCAACTTTGCCTTTATATAAAGAATTAATAAACTATTAGAGTCGGCAAGTAGCGTTTTGTGGCAAGTAGCCATGCAAAACTAGAAAACGTACTATGGCCAATGTTTTTACAGAATAAAGGCCTTTAGGCTGAAGCCTGGTTTATACTGCGTCAAGTGATCGGCGTGACCCATGGCGTATGCAATGCGCGTAGCCGTGTATTTATACTTCTGCACACTGTTTCTGTTGCTCTGCAATAACACTTCCGAAATGCCAGCTGGCAATAGGTGTTTATGTTCCTTTGTGTTCAGTTTCATCGCTGATGTTTTGTTTTAATCTGATTCCTACCTTAATGTACAAGTGGAGCAAACTCGCTCATTTTGAGGCGGGAATCGGTGGACGTGCAACAGCTTTAATCATAAGGTAAATACAAAACAGCAGTCTCTATCTGGAGCTTCTTCACAGGACTCCACACTAGTAAACACTTGCTGCATCTGGCTTGCGCGGCTCTCACATCCGCCCACACTTGTCAGCGCTACCAAGCTGACCAATCAGGGAGCTTGCGCTACACGGTATTGAGATGTGTAGTTACATTTTTTGAGAGGTGCGCATCGGCGAGGGCTATATGTCCTCCTTATGCTACAGCGCAGCCTACGCTTTGATGCATAGCCTTCTTGCGCTTGACGCAGAAGTATAAATCAGCCTTTAAACAGCAGCCCTCGATTGGTGCTATCTTGTGACTGAATAGTGCGTAGGTTGGTGTATGCTCCATTCAACCTGTTTTATATCTGTAAGCTTGGCTTTAAATTATTATTAAATAATGAAGTAATAAAATAATACAGCTTAGAACACAGTTTTGTGTCAAATTTTTCATATTTTGTGGCAAGTAGCCATGCAATAAATGGTATAAAGTACATCCAGGTGGTTGTTTTCGCAGAATAAAGCCTTTCAGTCCAATGCAACCGCCCTCTATTTTGCATTTGGCTTTTTTACTGTGATAACAACTACCTGGATGTACCTTATTTCTAACGCAATGCAAACTGTTGATTATCCCACGTATACTGTGGTCATATGCTAAGTTATAGACAAGCTATCCTGTAAGTTTGCTCTTTTCAGCAAAATATTTAACTGAATTACCACCTCTTCATGTCCCTCCCTGCATTCAATCAAGCTAAAGGGGGTGTGTGTAAATGAGATCATGTGTGTGCATGTTAATGACATGGGAATATCTAACAGCTCATATTGACATATTCTGGAACGCTTAATTTCTTTTCTGTGATTGTTTTAGTACTTCAGATTAATTTTTTCTATGGGGAAAAGACAGAGTAATAAACAATAGGAGTAAATGTTCAAATGGTATTTGCTCTACAAACAGTTGTTTATGGTGACCTATAAAAATATAAATAATATAATTAGAAATTACAAGTTTGTAACATCAAGCAGTATAATGAGTTGTTTTATGGCTAAAAGTCAATGTAAGTGAATGAGTTTGTACGTAAAAGAATGAAGTCAATAATGTGTAGCTACCTCTTTGCTTTGAGATTACACAGAAGAATGAAGGCTCTAGCAACTGTCACTCAAGAACTACCTTGGTTACTACTAATGTTTGAGGGAAGCACATTTGGTATACATGTTGTGCATTTTAAACTACCTGTGCATTAAACTATTTTATTGCACACCTTCCAGCCAATCAGAATCAAGAATTTCAACAGACCATGGAATAAATAACAATTTATGACAGCAACAACAACATAAAAATAAACATTATTTATTTTTACCCACTGTGTTTAGGCTGTGTGGGCTGGCTGGGGTCATGCCTCTGAAAATCCCAAACTTCCTGAATTGCTGCACAAGAACGGCATCGCCTTCATGGGTGAGCTATTATTAGAAGTCTGACAGCACAACATTGATTAAATGAATCACATACAGTGCTGTTACTCGAGTGGTTTGTGTCTGTTATTAGGTCCTCCAAGTCAGGCTATGTGGGCTCTCGGGGATAAGATCGCTTCCTCTATTGTGGCCCAGACAGCAGGCATTCCCACACTACCCTGGAGTGGAACAGGTCAGTTTCAGCCTAATTTCAGTTCAAGGACTGTCTGATGTGTATATGCACAAAACATCCTTTGTCAAACACAGATTGAGATCCAGCAGAGGGCATTAGGTAATCTGTTGATGGAGAGGTTTAGCATTGTAAATGCTTAAAAGTAAAGAAAACATTTCGCTAGAAAGCCAAGTCATCCTTTTTCAGATTTTTTAAAGCAGATTTATGAGAAGGCCACTTTCAGATGTGCTCTGTTTGCAGTGTATGCAGTCTGTATTTTTATCTGTGCTTGCATAAAAGGATTAGAGCTTTCACACTGCATACATATGCGGTCTGGCACTGCATCACCACAATAATTTCTGCAGCAAGTATATTTTAGCTTTGCTATATACGCTAAATTGAATTGACATAGCATTTATGTGCATTATTCAGTTGTAATTAAGCAGTTGTAAGAGATTTAGAAGTAGATAAATAAAGTCCCCCTTAAATCAGTATATATTTTTTGTGTATGTCTTGTATGGATATGCTAGTCTTAATGTTTTCTTTCTTTTTTTTCTTTTTGTTTTTTACTTTTTTAAACATATTAAAAGGGAATACATTTTCACTGCCAGTTTTTTACTTTTTTAAACAACATAGAAAGCAACAAAACACAATGTAAAAAAATTTAAATGAACAAAGTCTATAATAACAATAACGATAAAATAAACAATATTAATTACAAAATGTAAACAATTCAGGGGGGGTCAAATGTAATAATAGTCAAACTCTGTATTAAATAAAATCAAATCTATGTTCTTAGTCTGAAGAGGAGACTGCGAGAGAAAGCTTACTGGTTATTAAATTAGAATATGCATATCTTGTGGATTAAAACTAAGTAACAAAGTCTAGATAAAGTAACCTTACATATGCAGTCCATATGGTCCAGAAGTGCACAAAATACTCTAACCTTAACTTTAGGCATTTAAACGGCATATTTTGAACTGGAATGTGTCTCTCTTGTTTACTTGTGATCTGATCGAGCAAAATATGTCTTATTACTGTGTAAACAGTGCAGCATCAGTCATGTTACATTCACAGACTCTCTCTGTCTCATCTGCTCATCCTTGCCTGCTCATGGTAGTCTTCATAAACTAGCCTACGTAAGGCACGTGATAACATTTGGTTAAAAAAAAAAAAAGAAACGCACACTGCAGCATGCAGCACAATGACGGAAATTAGAGTGATTGCATCGAGAAGGTGCTCAAATTGCGCAGCGACAAGAAATAATATAGATTGCGCCACCAAACACATGAAAATGAAAGTAACGACCATGGTTTAAAAATTTAAGGAGTAGAAGGTACAGATATTTGTGTAAAAAAGTAAGAAGCAAAAGTTGAAGGTTGTCAGAAAAATTAATAGTGGAGTAAAGTACTGCTTACAGAAAAATCTACTTAAGTACAGTAACAAAGTATTTGCACTTTAATACCTCCCATCTCTGTAAATATGTATTCCTTTCCATTTTAGACAAATGACAGTTTTTAGCTCTAAATGATAGTTTGCTTGCATAATGATATTTATCTGTGGCATGATCAATGACATATTGTGTTCTCAGTTTTGAACACTTTAATGCAGTTTACAAAAGTCAGTAGTGTTATCATCTAGCTCAGTTCAAAGCAAGTTTTGTGTTTACTTGGTGTACGAAAAATGAGAAAGAAAGCAGTGGTTTTCTGGTGGAATGAGTTTGAATTAAATACAGCATGAATGCATATCCCACACTGTTTTTTTTCTTTTTTCTTGCTGCTATTTTCTTGTCTCATCTGGGGCTTTGAAAATTGACTACTGTGATGGTGTTTTTGTACAGGACTGACTGTAGAGTGGACAGAGAATGACCAGAAGAAAGGGATTATTAATGTTCCTACTGAGCTATACGAGCAAGGCTGTGTGCACGACGTGGAGGCTGGACTGAAGGTATGCTATGCTTCCAAACAGTTTTTTTTTTAATTATACACATATAAATTATATTTCAAGAGTTCACACTTAGATATTGCTTGACAGCTGTAAGCAGGTTTGGCATGCTGTCCCGGGAGAGAACCCTGAGCTCGGAGATAGTTGAGCCCAGGGCTCCCGCCAGGTCCATAGAGCATGTGAGGGGAGTACGAGATCAGGTGGTTCTCGAGAGCTCCCCTTTTTGTAAAGGAGAAAAGGAGGAGAAAGGGGGTGGATGGGGGGTTTCTTCGGAAAACGAAGATAAGGGAGTAATGTCTAGCTAGGCTACTTATAGTGGGTTAGGATAGATCTGATTGGCTAACTAATGAGTGTAGATAGGTGGCCAGCTGCTGTCAATTATATCACGTGCTCCTCTCGAAATTAGTTTAAAAACTTCACTTCAAGAGTTCACACTTAGATATTGCTTGACAGCTGTAAGCAGGTTTGGCATGCTGTCCCGGGAGAGAACCCTGAGCTCGGAGATAGTTGAGCCCAGGGCTCCCGCCAGGTCCATAGAGCATGTGAGGGGAGTACGAGATCAGGTGGTTCTCGAGAGCTCCCCAAATGCATGAAGCTCGGGACAGCAGCCGTGTATTCGAAGAAACTCCCCAAAAGGCTTGAAATGCTATATCCGGCTGCTGGATATAGTTATTTGAAAAAGAAAAGGTAAAGAGGGCTCCTTTGGAGCAAAGGGTGAAACAGGTTCCTGCGGGAACCCGAGCAGAGTTGGCTTGGGCTGTGAATACTCCTGCTTGAGTAGAGACTCGGGGAGACCCCTGCGGGGGTCAGAGCCATGGGGTGGGTGGGAATCCTGCTGGAGTCATTACAAGGGAAGGGGAGTCAAGGACTACGGCTGGAGAGGGGGGTGAAGGGGGGCAGGGGGGGCGGGGACTCCAAAGGAGAAATTTGCTCGAGGAACACTCCTTGCGGAGATAGAGCTGGGAGGTGGCAGCACTATATATAATTATATATTTATATGAAACATATAGATATATAAATATATAATGGGGTAATCTAGGGCCTTGGGGGGGCGTTTTTACTGACTCTTGCGAGAGTCGAAGCTCTTGGCTCGCCTGCGGGAGAGAGAGCTGTATGTGCCATCTCCAGCTGGAGTCGGGAAAAGGAATGGTCGGTGAAGCCCCAGCTGAAGGGGGAAATGGCAGTTGGGCGATGACCCCTGCGGGGGTCCGGTGCTCGGGATTAACTCCGCGGGAGTTAGAGCTTGAGGGTGACAGCACTATATATAAATATATATTTATATGCGTGGGTGCATATATATATACATATATATAAATAAATTTAAAAAATAAAAGATAAGTGTGAGAAATAAACAAAAATAAACATAAATAAAAGCTAGGGCCGGGGAGGGTCGGTGACATGACTCGTGTCACAGCTCGGGGTTGGGTGAGCTATTTAGTTGCTCCAGTAGGAGTCGGAAAAGATGAGGGGGAGGTGAAGACTTCTTACTGGAGGGTGACGGGCGGTATAGGTGCTCTGGGGGTGTTCCTGCGGGAACAGAGCGTGAGGGTGACAGCACTATATATAAATTCATATTTATATGCGTGGGTGCGTATAGATATAAATTTATATAAATAAAATCAAACAGAGAGAAAAATAAATGGTGCTATACTATATGTCATTATGGAATGACATAATATAAAAAGCTAAGGCCAGGGCAGTGAGATGATTCCTGCGAGAATCGAAGCTCGGGGTAACGCCCCTGCGGGGGCCAGAGCCATGGGGGGGGCGGGGTCCTACAGAAGTTAGAAAAGTTGGGGGGCAGTGAAAACTTCTGTGGCAGCGGCCGGGGGGGGCGGGGGTGACAAGGGGGCCTGGGCAGGGAGAGAACTCCTACTGGAGTTAGGTGAGTGAAAAGGGGGAGAAGGCTGAGTGCAAATCAGCTGGAAGGAAGAAAGGAAGCTAGATGGCTGGGTCATGCCCGCGCCCTTGGGAGACTGGGTAGTTCCTCTGCCCTCGGGAAGCTGGTATGGTTGGGTCGTATTCTCTCCCTGGACTAGGCCCATGCCCTTGGCCGCTGGGATTACTGCGTCTGCTGGTGAGGGTCCTCTGAGCTTCCCTGAGATGGCTGTGGCTGAGTCAGATATAAGATTTGAAGGCGTCGGGAGACTACTTTCCTAGTGTTTGTATGTGTTGTTACGATAGCCCTTGTGTGCTGCTGTGGTGGTGGCTCCAATTCTGAATGAGTGACTGGATTATGAATCTGGTGGGAAGCCTGAATGGTCCTATGACTTTAAGGTGTTATGACAACGGAATGTGTGGATGTGTTGAGCAGTGAGAAACTGATGAGGTGTTCTGGGGTAACTTAAAATGTATAAATGAATGCTGACGCAAATTGTGTATGCTGTGGTTATGGGATTATCATCTTAAAAGGAGAGATGGAGTCAGCTGCGGCTCTGCTTCTGATACCAGTTTCTGAAAATAAAGCAAAAGAGAGTCAGCGATTTCCTATGCAACTAGGAACATGTACAGAAGTTTTTTTTTTTTTTTTTTTTTCAGAATGTATTGACTTTATTGCCAGTTAGAAGCGCATTGGCGGCCCCGATAATATACCCCACGAAGGGGGCAGCATCTGTGTAAAAAGGATATACTGAGGATGAAATTGGATAGCTAATAAATGAATGGCTTCTATTCCAGCGCTTAAGGAAGGAAGCATAAGCAGGTCGCATGCTTTAAGCGCTACCTGATGGTTACGAACCTTTATGAATTTCATTTCTGTTAAACCAGGAGTCACCAAATATGGTACCGATGGGCACCAGATAGCTCACGAGGCTCTCGTGTGTCGCTCACAGGCCTGTTCTAAAATAGCTCACCATGACACCACTTACAAGTAAGCTTTCTCTAATATAGAAGTAATCATTTAAAAATGTAAATATTTGCAAAGATAAATAAAATAGTGTTGCACGTTGATATATTAATTACGGGGTATTTCCTACCCTGTTAAATCATTGTTGGTAATTTTGAGAGAATCATAACATGATCAGTGACTACACCTGGATGAATATTATTCATTATTAAAAAATAACCAAAAACTTTAATTATAATTATAAGTAATTTGAGCAATTTGTTATTTGAGAAGTGTTTATCCAACTGGTAGCCCTCCACGTTAATCGGTGCCCGAAAGTAGCTCTTAGTTTCAGAGGTTAGTGACTCCCGTGTTAAACGCTAAAGACAACATTTTGAAGAAAGCTGAAAACCTGTAACCATTGACTTTCACAGGAAGGAATAAATACTAAGGAAGTCAATGCGGCTGTCCGTAGTGCCCAGCCACAATTCATGACACTTCGTATTCTGCTGCGCCGCGGAGCGCTATTTGTATAATTGATTAGTTTATTTGATAAAGTATGAATGCTTGAGTCTGGTGCGCATTAATCTACTATTCTCTGTCGTAAGTGCGTCGCGTCACCGCGCCGTCGGCGCCTCTGGTGCGCGACGCCCTTCAGGCAGAGTTTGTTACGGCCAAGATCGGATTTAGATCATTTCTCTTCTATTCCGGAGATTGCTGCTGCGAGATGAAATAGGTGAGTGACGAAAAGGCATCCCTGCGGGATAATGCGCATGTGTGTTGATGTTCTAGATGGAGAGCAGTTTATGCTTAGCGTGATATTTCTTCCAGAATATAAAGGGGACTAATTGTCGATTTATTCAAGTAGCTTATTAATGCTTGAAATTCTATCACTCCAAATTGATGCTTAAGAATTCTATAGAAGTGCTTAAGCCGGAGGTTCTTCCGCAATGAGAATGCAAATATTAGAAAACCGGTCACTAGTTTAGCTGGGGGATATTAGGGAGAGAGAACGGGAACTTGTAGGTGAATTACGTGCAAACACCGTAGTTATTGGCGAAATCCAGCGGATCGTTTTTAAGCATAAATGTGTGGGCTACTTTTGCATCCGAATGTTAAACGGACTACGAAATGTAATTGTGACCTCCGATTGCCAGATATCGGGTGGCGGGTGTAATGTTGATTGCAACCGAGCGCTGCAGCCGTCTAGATTAGAGAGATTGCTTGGTTTATAACGTGATAATTTAAGCATATTCATCTGGCAGAATCATGCTGTTAAAGCTGAAAAAGGCAGAATTATGAGGAGATGAAAGAGCCGTTATTAGACGTTTTTAGAAACGTTCTAATGTCCATTTCAGTAGGGCTGGTATGGATGTGCTTAACAGGGAATTGCTCTGTGATTTCTGGTGTAGTGTTGGTGGACGACTAGTGAGGTTGTGGGAAGGGAGCGCCGAGATCGGCTGTGCTTCAGTAGATGAAACCTGGAATGAGAAATTCAGAAAATTAGGTCAGTTACAAACGTAATTCAGTAAAAGCATAAACATATTGACAAAAGTCGACAAGTAATTTCTATTTTATAATAGAAAATAATCAGCAGTAGCTGCGAGCTTGTAAAAATGAGAGGGGGAAAAGCAATGATACGCAAGGTAGAGGGGCGGGGTGCGTAGGTGGTAAGGATCGCTGAAAGAGGAGGACTGGAGTGTGCACTGGAATCGGGAGCTGCAGGATGGAAGAGGTGAGGTGGGATTCCCAAGAGTTGCTTTATTGTCCGGGAGATAGGTTTTATCCGTGTTTAGAATTATGATTGCTGCAATATGTCCAAATCCAATATTGCTTTTTAATCCTTTCCTTGATTCTCCGGGGAGGCGGAGAGATTGCGGGTTTAATGTCTGTTTAGGATAGGGGGTGTGGCAGGAGCGTGTTATGTCCTGGGGGTGGCGGTGAAGACGTGGATTCGCAAGTGTTTTGGGTTTAATGCAGCGGCTTTGAATTATGGTCCCGGCGTCTAGGAGTTTGGAGGAGTTCAGTGACAGTCGTTGTTGGATATGAGTGACACATGATGATGCTGGAGAAGGTACGTAGCGGAGCTGGGGATTGCATTGTGATCTGGCTGGAGTGGATAGGCCTACGGCCTCTCGTTGGAGCCTCGGTCTCGAGCTGACTTTCATGCTGGGCTGGTTGTTGTTAAGACGGGGCTGGTGTTTCAGGGAGCCCGGAGCTTTCTTTCTTGTATGTAGCTGCGCTGATGCTGTTGTGATCTCAGCCGCCGTCGCTGTTGTTGTTGTTTTTGTCATTTTTTGTAGTTGCTGACGATGGTATTAAAGGTGGTGTGGTATTGTAGTTGAAGAATAGTAGGAGATGTGGAGGATCCGTTTTGTCCGTGAGTAACTTTTGGAGGAGCTAGAGCGGACCTGTCGTTTGTTTCTTCGGAAAACGAAGATAAGGGAGTAATGTCTAGCTAGGCTACTTATAGTGGGTTAGGATAGATCTGATTGGCTAACTAATGAGTGTAGATAGGTGGCCAGCTGCTGTCAATTATATCACGTGCTCCTCTCGAAATTAGTTTAAAAACTTCACTTATTTATATGCGTTGTAATTGTAAACAGACTTTAAACGTTGATTTTTAGCATTGGATGTATCCTATTTGTTTAATAAAACAAAATAATTTTATATATTTGATCAATGATAATAAAAGTTTAAGTTCCTGAAAGTGGGGAAACCCCTCTAGCTCTGTTTTTCTCCATAATATGTATGAATTTTTCCTCAAAGTGGCAGATGACACACTTGCATTGAAATGCTTGTGTCTCTTGTTTGGAAACACAGTCATCTTTAACAATTCTGAAAAGACAGTTATACTAAACTATTATGCTTTTAGACTTTTGTTTAGATACCTTTAGAATGGGTAAAACAGCTTGAGTGTGATTTTTTTTTTTTTTTTTTTTTTTTATACTGTTGCTGGTTAGTCTATTCAGTCATATCAATGTTGAAGCAAATTTATCAATTGTGTAATGTATTATATAAATAGGTTGCCATCAGAGTAGCTTGGGTATCTGATATAAAAAAAAATAGACTTAATTGAACGCATACTTTATCTTCATACACATTTGTGGGATTTGTGTGCATCTTGTCATCAAGAAATGCTCTGAAATGTGCTTAAAACAGATCCTGTTTTGATTGGCAGGCTGCTGAACAAGTGGGCTTCCCTGTGATGGTGAAGGCATCTGAGGGCGGAGGAGGAAAAGGGATCCGGAAAGTCAACTGTGCAGAAGACTTCCCCAACCTCTATAGACAGGTCAGAGTAGATATTCAAGTCAATCAGTCTGTGAGGTTTGTGTGATTTGTAACTGCCACAATTTATTTTCATCAACCTTCTTCCAAACTTTTTAGAGAAATAATTCACCTGAAAAATAAAAATTATTTCATTATTTACTCACCATTTACTTGTTTCAAATCGGTGTGTTTCTTCTGTTGAACTATCAGTAGGGTTGGGCGATATTACTGTATACAGTGCATCTATAAAGTATTAACGAATTAAACAAAAAGTGAATGATTAGATATTTTTTAAAAATTTAGTTAGTCAGCATGCTTTTACATTCATTCCCTACTCATCAATATCTCTTTTAGCCTTATATATATAAAATATAAAAATCTACCATAATATACCATGTTATAACCTGGTTTGTTAGTTCGTTGAATTGTATTAATGACTTGCAACAACCCAACCAATCTAGAGTTCGTTTTAATCAAGTTGAGACAACCTCAGACCAGGCAGTCTCAGATCAATTAATTAGACGCAGATCAGTGCATGATAGCGGGGTTTACATAAAGTATACCCAAATAAGCCAAGCTAAGGGGCAAACACATCATGTTCCGAAACATCAAGATGTGAAACCACCCTTCAATATTCATAAAATTAATTTTTAGTATTTATTTGTATTTTTTTATATATTTTTTTCCTTGGTGTTTACATATAATCTATAATTTTTTCAGATTTATGTTTTCTATCCTGGTTACTTATTTGGGATAAATTTAATGTCTGTGACAAGATGTTACCTTAGGAATGTTCACTCATTTTTTTAGGCACAGCCGTCCAACAGCTTGTTAACGCAAATTTCTAATCAGTCATTTACATGGCAGAAACTTAATGCAATTAGGCATGTAGACATGGTCAAGACGATCTGCTGCAGTTTAAACCAAGCATTAGAATGGGGAAGAAAGGGGATTTAAGGGACTTTGAACGTGGCATGGTTGTTGGTGCCAGACTGAGTGTGAGTATTTCAGAAACTGCTGATCTACTGGTATTTTCACACATAAACATCTCTAGGGTTTAGGATCAATAGTCTGAAAAAGAGAAAATATCCAGTGAGTAGCAGTTTTGTTGGGCACAAATGCCTTGTTGATGCCAGAGGTCAGAGGACAATGGCCAGACTGGTTCGAGCTGATAGAAAGGCAACAGCAACTCAAGAAAGCACTCGTTACAACTGAGGTATGCAGAAGAACATCTTAGAATGCACAACACCTCCAACCTTGAGGCGGATGGGCTACAGCAGCAGAAGACCACACCAGGTGCCACTCCTGTCAGCTAAGAACACGGAACTGAGGCTATAATTCAATAGTTGGACAAAATAGTTGGACAATAGAAGATTGGAAAAATGTTGTCGGCTCTGATGAGTCGATTTCTGCTGCAACATTTTTATGGTAGGGTCAGAATTTGCCATGTCCATTCCTTTATATTTACAGTGCACCCATTTATTGATGGCTACTTCCAGCAGGATAACGTGCCATGTCATAAAGCATGAATGATCCCAGACTTATTTCTTGAACATGACAATGAGTTCACTGTACTTAAATGGCCTCCACAGTCACCAGAACTCAATCCTATAGAGCACCTTTGGGATGTGGTGGAACGGGAGATTTGCATCATGAATGTGCAGCCGATCTGCAGCAACTGTGTAATAATATCATGTCAATATGGAGCAAAATCTCTTTGGAATGTTTCCAGTACCTTGTTGAATCTATGTCATGAAGGATTAAGGTAGTTCTGAAGTTAAAAGGGGGTCCAACTCAGTACTAGTAAGTTTTACCTAATAAAGTGGCCAGTTAGTGTATATAATAATAATAATAATAATAATAATAATAATAATAATAATAAGGTATGTCCACTTAAAACCTTGAAATGTGACATACAGTGGCATTTGCTGTTCGTCTAAAGTCCATATTTTGTTTACTATATTTATAAGGTTAAAGAAAAAATATACAAAGTAATCAAATATGATAAAGTCCCTTTCCTTTTTTAAATATTCAAGTTGGTTTTTTTATATAAAGCTCTTTTGTACATTTTCTGGAATAGTTAACTTCATCAAAAAGTATATTGTAAAAGATATCATTTTTCTGAAAAAAAAAAAAAAAAAGTTCATACTGTGAAATAAAATTTTGGTCATCCCGCCCAGCTCTAGTTAACAGGTTTCCAACATTCTTCAGAATATGTTCTCTCATATTCAACAGTAAAAATAAACTATTAATAGTTTGGAACCACTTGAGCATGAGTAAATAATGAGTACATTTACATTTGTGGGCGAACTCTATCCTGTTAATCATTTTTGCACATCCATTAAAGAACTGCAACTACAATACTGTGTTTTTGGTTTTACTCAGGTTCAAGCTGAGGTTCCAGGTTCCCCGATTTTTGTCATGCAATTGGCCAAACATGCTCGTCATCTGGAGGTTCAGATCTTGGCTGATCAGTACGGTAATGCCATCTCTCTGTTCGGCCGTGATTGCTCCGTGCAGCGCAGACACCAGAAGATCATTGAAGAAGCCCCGGCTACTATCGCTACATCAGACGTGTTTGAAGATATGGAGAAGGTATCATATCTTTAGGCCTCAGATTTGGCAGAAGTTGAATGATGATGTTAAAGTAAGGAATTGTGTCTGTTGCTATAAACCATTGTCTGGTATGTTTCAGTGTGCTGTGAAGTTGGCGAAGATGGTGGGCTATGTGAGTGCGGGTACAGTGGAGTATCTGTACAGTCAGGACAGCAGCTTTTACTTCCTGGAGCTCAATCCACGTCTTCAAGTGGAACATCCTTGTACTGAGATGGTGGCTGACGTTAACCTGCCAGCAGCTCAACTGCAGGTCTGTGTTTTATACCTTTAAGTTCGTTATTCGTTCCTCTATTCGTCATTCTTTCTTTTTTTTTTTTTTTTTTTGTTCCTGGTTTTAATACTTATTTATTTAATTATTTGTTTTATTTAGTTTTTTTTGTGTCTTCAAAGATAATTTGCAAATTTGTTCCCTTGTTTCTTTTTTCTCTAGGTTGTATGTAGTTATTTATTTGTTAGATTTTAGCAAAGAGCTTTATTGATGAATTGATCAATTTATTCACCAGAATTTAGAAAAGCCCTTCCTTCCTCCCTTTCCTTCCTTCCTTCCTTTCCTTCCTTCCTTCCTTCCTTTCTTCCTTTAGTCATTGTCTGATTTAATAGTGCTGTTTTATGGCTCAGCGTTAGTTGTGTTTGTTTGTTTGTTTATTTATTTATTTATTTATTTTTATCTTTATACCTATCTATTTGTTTATCTACCTGCCTACTTATTTATCTATTTATTGTTTGATTTCATTTATTTTGTTTTATTGTGTACTTATTGTTGGTTGTTTACTTTCTATGTGTATAAATAAAAATAAAAATAAAACTGTTCCTTGCTATTATGTTCATTTAAAAAGAGGGTTAATTAATGTTAAAAAATCACAACGTTGGATTTTAAATTTGTACGTTTTAGTAAATACATTAACTACATATAGGAAAGTATTATAAAAATTATTACAGTTACCAAAATCATAGTGGTCTTACTAGAAATTTATTAATGTTCTGAAAATTGTAATAGTGTTTTTAAAAATATTTTATTTAAAGTGTTACTTAATTAAAAAGATTAAAAGATTGCCACAGAGCATACTGTAAGACTCATTCAGGTCTCCACAATCACTTTCACTAGCAGCGTTTAGTGAACAATGTAAGACAGTCTCTGCGGTAGACACTGCTCACGTGACCACATGTCTGTGCTATATAGGTCACTTGTCTGATGGCAGTGTGCTTTAGGTCCAGTATGAGTGGGAGAGAGCTCTTAATATGCTTATGTAACATAAACGCTGCACAAAATGAATGAGGGGGAATTGAATGAAAAGGGCATTAGGGGAAGAAAAACGCAGTAGGAGGCACTCATTACTGAAAAAGAAAGAGTGCAGAAACTAGGAAAGTGTCAATTTGAAGGGATATCCATCTAAAAATGAAAATTGTTACTATTTCCTCACTTTCAGATTAGGGCTACACAATGTATCAAAATGATCATTAATAGTGTATGAAATATACATATTGCAGAGAAGTGCAATGAATGAAGTTAATTTTACGTGACAAGCATTTTTGTGCTGCACTAATTAATTGGTTATTCAAAGCTGACCTATGAGATGGCCCTTTTACTATTTTTATTTTCACTTCTTCCATATACAGTAGGTGTTTTTAGGGGAACCTAAAGTATAGCTGAAAATGTAGAATTTCTGGAGAGGTTTTCTGTAATTTCTGGTGTTGTAAAATCTAAGGGCTCCATTTTAACGATCTAGGTGCAAAGTCTAAAGCTCATGGTGCAAAATCATTAAGGGCATGTCTGAATCCACTTTTATTATTTTAAGGATGTAAAAGTACACTTTGCGCCATGGCACATGGTTTAACAGGGTTGTGCTTATTCTCCTAACAAATTATGGGTGTGTTTTGTGCATAACGTGCAATAAACAATCAGAGTCTCATCTCCCATTCCCTTTGCGAGTCAGTTGTGCTGCCGCATGGTACATTTGCTATTTACATGGCAAAAAAAGCAGTTAAACAGACCATCTGCATGAGGATAAAGATTGAGCCTCCTCAATTCGGCCTCTTTACTTTTACTCTTTACTTTACTCCTTTACTTTCGTGGAGTAAGGAAACAGTGGAAACACACTCCACTGAAGACATCTATTAGCGTATATATTTAATTCTAGTTTAAGTGCAAAGATTTCTTTCAAAACTATTTCTAAATTCAGTTCCAATTTCCAACAAACTAATAAATGAGCAATAATAATAAAGTGTCGTCAAAAGTTTTAAAACACGCATCTTATTCTTATTCCCCATATGGTGATGCATACGTCTCCAATACCTGACAGGTGGACAAATATAAACTTGCTTTTATTAAAACAAAAATAAATATGCATATTTCCCAGAGATGGGTTGCGGCTTGAAGGGCATCCGCAGTGTAAAAACTAGCTGGATAAGTTGGCGGTTCAATCCGCTGTGGCGACCCCGGATACCCCGGATGAATAAAGGGACTAAGCCGACAAGAAATTGAATGAATGAATGAATAAATATGCACAGAAATAATACTGCTAATAATAGTAGCATCATAATAAAAAAAAATTTTCATAAATAAACTGAAAAAAAGCCTCCCCGAGATGAAGAAGGCTTAGAGGTAGTTTTTTTTTATATCTTTGTAATAAATAATAATTTTTTGTCATATGTAAAGATTTTTGTGTGTTGCTCTATACCCTGTGTGTATTAAGCAATGTGTAAGCGGTACATAACTAACGTGCTCTGCGCTGGAATTTAAACCAGCTTTTAGATAGTCAGTGGCCTGATCTATTTCAGTTTCTCGAAATAGCAACTCCCCTGCAATGCGTCTTAACATACTTTCTTTATAGACCAGCACACCTATGAGTCCACAAAGCAGTGGAAATGGATTTGCTATTTAAACAACGTGGCACAAAATGTGAAAATTACTGCTGTGCTAGTCTGAAAATGGCAACAATTCTTGCCAAAAACGTCTTGCGCATTATTGCTCCGGGTGTATGATAGGGCCCTAAATGTTGCATCTTGACATTGTATTTTTAGATGTAATTAGCTCTGAAAAATATCCATTGCCTGCTTATTTTAATACAATCAATTTTTGAATTTTTAAATTGCTAATAAATTAGCATTTTGCGAGTTATATTGTAAGAAAAACGTTATCGCAAAACTCCATAACACTATAGCTTAGCGCATATTTTTCCAGCATAGTGTAGCCATTGTTTAGCCATTGACATGCACAGTAGGTAAATGTTTGCATTGACAATTTTAGAAAACATGAACTCATGTCTTTTCTTCTACATATTTAATCAAATCTAGAAGCGGGAATATCACAGAGATTGTGGGTGGATTTTTTTAAAGTTTGTGAAATGCAGTAATTATGTCTTCAGATGTTTGTCTGTTTGTGATGGTTTGATATTTGGATTTTCAGATTGCTATGGGCATCCCACTTCACCGTATTAAAGACATCAGAGTGCTGTATGGGATGCAGCCATGGGGAGATTCCCCCATTGACTTTGATGGACTCTCTACCACCCCCTGTCCACGAGGACATGTCATTGCAGCTCGAATTACCAGTGAGAACCCAGATGAGGTGTGTGAGTTTGACTGTTACTTTAAGGGTCGCAGTGTAAATATGTAGTCACTTCTGGTCTCAATCATGATTGCGCATTCGAAGGGGATAACCAGGAGGTTGTAAAGTAAGCAATAAAATGTCTCATGTTTCATTCTAATAATTAAAAGGTAAAAATTATCAAACAATTTCAGCAAGTAGTGTAATGCAATATAACATGATGTTTTTTTTTCCATAAAAGAAATATTAAACAAAAATGACTACGTAATCAAACAAAAAGTGTTCAAGGGTAGCTTAACTAATGTGTCGGTGCTCATTGGGTAAGAGATTTATCAGAATTGCAAGCAAAGGTAAGTCCAAGGCGCTTGAAAAATGTAGAAAAAATATTAAAAAGACTTTATTGACATGGCTATAAAACTGCACTTACATGTTTTGACAAACGCTTGCTTTCGTCTGGGTACATAGTTGCCCAAATAAGTGCTATTTTTTAATCATCAGAGAATACTGAAACCATGTAACTTGGGTAAATAAGACAACTAAGGCCTTTATCTATTTGGATGGTTTTCTTTTTAAATGCTCCTTCACATGACTAAATGTTTTGCTTTAGTTAATGTAAATTTAATTAAAATGGCGTTGATGTTTTCGAAATGTAAAGTTGACATTAATTTACAAATGGAGAATAAAAAAAGTCTTATTTCTAATACTATTACACTAATTGTAATAGAGACTAGACTATATAAAAATGTTGTTTGCTGTACACATTAAAACAGGGCTTGCCTCATACAATGAGTATTGAGAATACTAAATAAAGATTACAGAGGGGGAAAAGATTAAGTAAGGTTGGAGTCAGCTCCAAGTGGGCCATATAAACCTGGAGTTTTTATTAATTTAATGTCTCGTACGTGACACAATATTCACGTGAGTCCAATATTGTGCTTTATGAATGTTTACACCTGCCCCAACCCTAAACCTAACCTCACAGTAACCTGTTGCGTTTTATTAACCTCTACACCTACCTCAACCCTAGGGTTAAGTGGATAGATGTTGGCCGATAAACATCACGATACTGAGCTGGCATCACTATCCTCTGCCCTGCCCTCATCACAACAGCAACCAGCTCATGAAAAATACACACTTAGGCCCCATTTGCACTTATAAATCTTTGTTTTAAAATGGTATTTTAGAACAAAAACGATCCACACTGGCATTTCTGAAAAGTCCTCGTTCCACACTAAACGTAAATCACATGACAACAAACAACAAACATGGATCGTGTCTCAAAGTTGTTAAACGTGATATTTAATTCATCTTGTCTCTATCTAACGACTCTTCGGTCAGCGTCAGTACACTGCTTCAATCTTTAGCTATCACGTTTAGTAATTTTAGTAAAAACCTCAGATATACTGTTGGTTGGTTCCTGTTGATTGAGAACCTTTTTTTACCAACCAAGTTTGTCGACACAATTATAATGACGCAGATCACTCTGCCTATTCATTTCAGAGGAGTCCTCTGGAAAAAGTGATTGACAGGTGATAATTTGTGTATAACTTTTCTCTCTCTCTCTCTCTCTCTCTATCTCTCTCTATGTATATATATATATATATATATATATATATATATATATATATTTATGATTTGGTGATGGTTAAAACAAAGACTATAGGGATCAGGTAATTGAAATAAGGCAGGCTACAAATAATTAATTCATTATGAATTAATTAATTAATTATTCATAAATAATAAATTCACCGCTGCCTACAACAATGATCGACATCGCCCAAACCTACTCAACCCTAATCCTTTAAGTCCTCCCCACTTGGAGGTCATCCAACCTACTTGCGGTAAAATCCCTCCCGCTTGAAGGTCTCCAGGCTGCAGCGAAACTTACTTGAAAAGAATAAATCTCAGCGTTTGAGAATTAATATTTCCATTTCAGAAATATATGAACTGCTCACTGCCAGTTGTGTACAGTAATAACAATTAGTAAGTAATAAGATATTTTACTTCACTAAATATTGGAATGATTTCAATTATCATGTTACACTGGTTGCTGTAAAATAGAGTTGTATTAAATAAATCATCAGTAAATCAACAGTACATACTATTTTATAATTTTCTGAAACCTTACTTTAAACCTTACTGACACCAAAATGTGTAAATATTATAAAGTAATTTAAAATACATACCATGCAATAGGGTTCTATCGATGCATTAATTGTGTTGTCTTTTTTTTTGTGTGTGTGTCAGGGTTTTAAACCCAGCTCTGGAACTGTCCAGGAATTAAATTTCCGCAGTAACAAAAATGTGTGGGGCTACTTCAGCGTGGCGGCAGCTGGAGGACTGCATGAGTTTGCAGACTCTCAGTTTGGCCACTGCTTCTCCTGGGGAGAGAACCGTGAGGAAGCCATCTCGTGAGTACTTCCAGTCATAAGCATCTTCATTTTTGAGATGTGCAGAAGTTAACTTTAACTACTTAAACTCTGCTGCTATTTGGGAATTTGAGCCTGGATTTTGCCGACCCAAATTTAAAAACTTCCCAAATCCACATAAAGAGGTGTAAATGCAAAAATTTGGCATCATTTTAAAGAAAACCCTTTGAATTTTCATAAAACACTGGAAACACCACAATTCATTCAACAACTGTTTGGCATATGAATATAATACAGTAAAAAGAATGCTAGAACTGTATGAACACTGGCAAGAGCTTTCATTTGAGCTATAACTTGTACATGTGTCATTTAAAAAAATATGAAAATCAACCAATGTAAAATACCTAGCTCGGGTATCCAAAATAGTGTTTTAGACCGTAGAATAAAACCAAAGTGATGCATATGTGCATAAAATATAGATTCTACACTTTCAAACGAAACCACTTACGAGAGTCTGGTGCAATGCTAGCCCTTTAAATCTGAAAGCGAAAGTCGATGATGTCACGGACCTGGTACCGGGTCCGCAGAGTTTAAGTGGTTAAACATTGAAATCTTTTCTTTGAATTTTTATCATTTTAATAAATGCTAAAATTCTCCTATTTTACCTTTTACAAAATGTTAGATAAAAATTCTCCAGAAAGTAGCTGTAAAATTTCAGCTCTAAATACCCATCAGATCATTTAATATACACTGCTGATTGTCAATTTTGTAGTTAGAGAAAAGTGTAGCTGTTTTTTATAGCCTGCGCCTTTAAATGCAAAGCTGGTTCTGGATTCTGTATGTATTCAATAAGAAAAAGCATAGAGAGATGTATTAAGGATTTTCTTGGCTGTGTCATCTCAGAAACATGGTGGTGGCCCTCAAGGAGCTGTCCATCAGAGGAGACTTCAGGACTACAGTGGAGTATCTCATAAAGCTGCTTGAAACGGAGAGTTTCCAGCACAACAGCATTGACACAGGATGGCTGGACAGGCTCATCTCTGAGAAGATGCAGGTGTGTGAAACTGCCTCTTATGACACTGCTTATCTGACACTCATGTACACACCATTTGGGCACATCATTTAAATCACCAATTAATGGCTTATGACTTCCAATGTCTTTAACTGTCTATGTGGTTTTGTCTGTGTGTGTGTGTGTAGGCAGAGCGTCCTGATACTATGCTGGGGGTAGTAAGTGGAGCTCTGCATGTGGCTGATGTTAACTTCAGGAACAGTGTGTCCAACTTCCTGCACTCACTGGAGAGGTTACAAATCATTTAACAGATTTTGAGAGCATGATAATTAAATTCAATAATTAAATTAAATTAAATTAAATTTAGTTTAATTTCATTTTAATTTCATTTATCTAAATTTCTTTTAATTTTGTTTCATTTATTATAATTGAATAGAATTTTATATCTTTTAATTTAATTAAATTTTTTTTTCTTTTAATTTAGTTTCTTTAAATTATTTTATTTAATTTCTTTTAATGTCTTTTAATTTCTTTTAATTTAATTTTAAATTTAATTTCTTTTAATGTCTTTTAATCTAATTTCTTTTCATTTTATTTAATTTATTTTAATTAATGTATTTTAATTTTACTTAATGCAAGTAAATTTAACTTAATTTCATTTAATTTCTTTTAATTAAATATAATTTAACTTATTTTAAATTATTTAAATTTATTTTATTTCTTTTAATTAAATTCATTTTCTTTTAATTTTATTTATTTTCTTTTTCTTAATTTATTTTAATTTACTCAATGCAAGTTAATTTAATTTAATTTCTTTTAATGTCTTTTAATTTAATTTCTTTTATTGTCTTTTAATTTAATTTTTTTAGAAACTTTTTTTAATATAATTTCTTTTAATGTCTTTTAATTTATTTTAATTTGATTTAATTTATTCTAATTAATTTATTTTAATATTATTTTATTTTATTTTGACACACTGCTGTTTTAAGTTTTAGAACAGTAATGTTTTTAAAGAAGACTCCCTAAGCCTTCATTTATTTAATCTAAAAATACAGCAAAAACAGTAAAAAGTGATTATATTTTAACTTAAAAAAAAATGATATCTTTTTAAATATATTTAAAAATCTAATTCTTTCCTGTGCTTTCAAAGCTGAATTTTTAGAATTAATACTCCAGTAACACAATCTTTCAGAATACACTATAATATTCAGATTTACTGCAAAAAAAATATTTTTTATTATTATTATTGTTTTTTTTTCTTCGATGAATGAATATTTATTTTGAAAAAACACATTTATCTTAAATAAAACTATTTTGTGATGTTATAAATGTCAGTATAATCACTTTCGATCAGTTTAAAGCATCCTTGCCAGAGAAAAGTATAATTTTTTTTTTTATATTGTCTTCATTAATAAAGGGGAAAGGATGCTGAATCGTTCAATGTTTCAAAAGCTTCCTAAATTAATTTTATCAGCTTTAATTAATCTTTTGGATTTTTCTATTCATCAAATAATCCAAAACAAAATGAATTAACAGTTAATTAATAATAATAATAATAATAATAATAATAATAAATGTTTTTCAAATCTGCATATAATTATTTTTTTAATGCGTACTGAACTATAAAAAAAACATTTAGGACTAATAGAACATTTTATAAATTATAGCAATCAATATTAGTTTATCAAAATAAAAATGGATCGAAGATAATTCAGTATCACCCACCTAGCTCTAATCAGCATATGTTTGAGTGTGCACTTGGTGCATTGTTTGTATTGTAAGGAGATTCTCACCCTTTTTCTGTGTTCTGTATGTCTGTAGAGGGCAGGTTTTACCAGCACACACGCTGCTGAACACGGTGGATGTGGAGCTTATCTACGAAGGCACCAAGTATGTGCTGAAGGTGACCAGGCAGTCTCCTAACTCTTATGTGGTCATCATGAATTGCTCTTCGGTAGAGGTGGATGTTCATCGCTTGAGTGACGGTGGTATGTTGCTCTCGTATGATGGCAGCAGCTACACCACCTACATGAAGGAGGAGGTAGACAGGTAGGAGTCTGGGTGGAATTACGGGATAGAGGATACAGGGACATATTGTCATATATATATATATATATATATATATATATATATATATATATATATATATATATATATATATATATAAAGGGGGGGCCCTTGGATTTGTTATAGCCCCAGGGCCCAGTGTGTTCTTAATACGGCCCTGCTTTCAGCCATTATAAATCAGTTTTTCATTTCTGATGCTCTGTTTGCTAAATTAAACAAGAAACATCAATTATTAAGGTCATGAATAAATTAACATTATTTTTTACACCCTTAAATAATAAAACATTTTCTATATTATAAATAATTAAACTTAAAATGAAATTAATCCTAATTCATTTAAGAGACTGCAATAAGGGAATAATGCTAAAACACGTATTTGTTAGAAATCATTTGAGTGTGTTTTATTTCATTCTCTAGGTATCGCATCATTATCGGGAATAAGACGTGTGTGTTTGAAAAGGAGAACGACCCTTCAGTCCTTCGCTCTCCTTCTGCTGGGAAACTCATCCAGTATACAGTGGAGGATGGAGGACATGTGTTTGCTGGACAATGTTATGCAGAGATAGAGGTTTGAAAGGCAGCTTTAATCACTTTTCAGATTGACAAAGTGAGCATTAGCTATATTAGTGATGTAACAGACATTTTGGCAAAGACATTAAATGTCAGGAATAATGTAAAAAGTAAAAATTGATTTAGCTATAATTATATTAACATTCCATATAAACAAATAGTTTATCGTAAGTGCTGCTTAAATACATAATGATTGTTTTTGTTGTTTATCAGCTAGCAAAAATTTAAAAAGTGATTCCAATGATATTGTTTCTCTGTGTCATTATTGTTGTTGTCAACAACAATGCGATAACAACAATGGTCTTGTTTTTGTTTTGTGGACTTTTTGTGGACTTCGCTGTTCGTTAAACTTGTTAATAAATTTTAAATCTTTATTTGATAGTTGTAGTGATTGTCTTTGGCTAGAGCAGGCCTGATGTTTTAAGTTAATCAGAATGAGCAAACGTGTGTTCATGTTGGTTCTTAAAAGTTATAAATAAAGATATTTATTTTCAAAATTGTAATTTGTGCAGGTCAGTATATAAACATTCATAGTTTACATTTTTTTATAAATGAAGAAAATCATAGAGTTTTATGTCTATATATAGACAAGATGTAGAAAACCCAATCTGATAATATTTCCCTAAATAGAAACAGGTTTTTCGCAACTCTATAAATGCTTTTTATATATATATATATATATATATATATATATATATATATATATATATATATATATATATATTATGTAGTTTATTCTTTATTTCAGTTAGCAAAAATATATTTTTGATAGATTTAGTTTTTGTTTATGATATGAACTTTTTAGTGTGATGAGAATTGTGTCGATATGCAAATGAGACCTCAGAGATACTTGTGCATGTACAAAACGTTTTTTTTTAATGGTTTGCTTTATGTATGCCTCTTTTAGGTGATGAAGATGGTGATGACTCTGACGGCCTCAGAGTCTGGCTGTATTCACTATGTGAAGAGAGCAGGTGCAGTGCTGGAGCCAGGTTGCATCATTGGCAAACTGCAGCTAGATGACCCCAGCAGAGTACAGCAGGTACATTCAGTGTGTCATGTGTATCTATGAGCAGTTGATTTTCCCCTTAAAAATCATAGACCTTTTGTATGGTTTAGCGTTTGAAATGAGTGTGTTTTTTTTTGTTTGTTTTAGGCGGAGTTGTATACAGGAACTTTACCCAGCATTCAGTCTGTGGCTCTCAGGGGAGAGAAGCTTCACAGAGTCTTCCACAGCACTCTGGGTCACTTAGTGCACATTATGAACGGCTACTGTCTGCCAGAGCCTTTCTTCAGTGCCAAGGTAGGGCAGGTGGAAAAAATGTAAATTGATAATCTCTATCTATCTCTCTGTCTGTTTTTTATTTTATTCACTTGTTTTTATTTGTTCATTTATTTATTTTATTTTTTATTTATTTGTATTACTTTTTTATTTTTTTAATTTATTTTATTTATTAATGGTCCCTCTTTAATCACAGGAGCTTTAAAAATAACCCTTAATTGGCAAAATCTGCGAAGTAGTTAGCTTTATTTTTTACAATTATTATAGATGTTTTAAGGCTGTAAAAGCCCTCACTAAACACTTTGTACACTTTTCCCAGACAGGCATTAACATTTTCACACTTTTCTCTGTTGTTTAAACACTTATGTTATTTTCTTCCCTCTTTATGTAACAAACCAAATGTTCATTTATTCCGTAATGGGGCCCTACACCTGCGTATCTTCTACCTTTCTTTAGCATGTCTAGAAGTCCAACTTTTTGTCTGATGGTTAACATCTTTCTCTGCCTTTTGGGTGCTAGCGCATGTGCCTTTGTCTGTACAGAACGTTTCAGAGTCACACAGCTAGTGATCAAAGGTTTATGTAAATTTGGTTATGTAAAAAACAAAAAAAAGCATGTTAAATTGCAAAAAAAAAAAAAAAATCTGCAAAACTGCAAGGCAGCGAAAGATGAACCACAATATAGTGAGGGAAGACTGTGATTTATTTGTATTTATTTGTATTTTCGTTTATTTATTTGAGTAATTTTTTTATTTTCCTTTTTTATTTTGTTTATTCACTTATTTTTTATTTATTTATTTTATTTGTATTTTTTATTTTTTTTATTTTTATTTTATAATTAAAATATAATTATTTATTTTGTTTATTTATTTTATTTTTATTTGTTTATTTATATTTGTTTATTTATATATTTTTTACATAATTAAAAAATATTCATTTTATTTATTTATTTATTTATTTATTTTTGTATAATTTAACCTAGCAGCAGTGTAGAACAGTAAAGACAAAGGGGCAAAACAAAACACAAAAATCCCTACAATGACAGTAAAGACTTATATCTGTAATATTCAAGATGATAGAAGATCTGCTTTGTCATTCACTTTTGACTGGTTCCCTTGTCATGCCAGATTTGGTATGAATAAGTATTAAGATTTTATGTGTGTTTTAGCTGAAAGAATGGGTGGAGCGTCTTATGAAGACTCTAAGGGACCCCTCCCTACCCCTGCTGGAGCTTCAGGACATCATGACCAGTGTTTCAGGCCGAATCCCTCCTGCGGTGGAGAAGGCCATCAAAAAAGAAATGGCTCAGTATGCCAGCAACATCACCTCTGTCCTCTGCCAGTTTCCCAGCCAGCAGGTCAGCTTAAAGAGAGTTCCTGATTATCTAAAGTTTTCAGTCTGTGGCTGTTGCTTGTAAATGCTGTTGTATTCCCATATCAGATTGCCAATATACTGGACAGTCATGCTGCCACGCTGAACAGGAAGTCAGAGAGAGAGGTCTTCTTCATGAACACACAGAGCATCGTACAGCTGGTTCAGAAGTTAGTTCATTCATTCATTTATTTATTCATTTAAACAACCTACATATGCACAGCTATGAAAACAAAATACTGAATATTTCTATTTTTAGTCATGTTTGAGTGTGTGTGTATATATACATATACTTTTTTTCTTGTTTTACTATAATCTTAATGACATTTTTTTCACATTTTAAATAAAAATATTGTCAATTTAGAGCATTTAAGAAAAGTAATAATAAAAAGGTGCCACTTTTTCATGTGTTTCATACATTTCATATATTTATATTTAAACAAACTTCAGAAGTGTTAAGAAGTTGATATCAGTTGTAATAACACTGATTTCATATCAATCACTACAAATAATAATAATAATAATAATAATAATAATAATAATAATAATAAATATAATATTTTGACCATACAGTGTATCTGGAAAGCTTCACTTTTTCCACAATTTTGTGTTACAGCCTTATTCCAAAATTGATTCAATTTATTTATTTTTTTTCAAAATTCTACATACAATACCCAATAATGACAATGTGAAAAACAGTTTTTTGAAATTGTTACAAATTTATTAAAAATAAAGAACCTGAAAAATCGCATGTACATCAGTTTTCAGAGCCTTTGCTGTGAAGCTCTAAATCAAGGATCACCAAACTTGCTCCCGGAGGGTCGGTGTCCTGCAGATTTTTAGCTCCAACCCTAATCAAACACACCTAAACTAGATAATCAAGGACTTACTAGGAAAACTAGAAACACACAGGCAGGTGTGTTGAGGCAAGTTGGAGATAAACCCTTCAGGGACACCGGCCCTCAAGGACCGAGATTGGTGACCCCTGTTCTAAATGGATCTCCGGTACATTCTGTCTCCACTGATCATTCTTGAGATGCTTCAGCAGCTTCATTGGAGTTCACCTGTGGTCAGTTCAGTTGATTGGACATGATTTTAATGGCACACACTTGTTTATATAAGGTCCCAGGGTTGACAGTGCATGTCAAAGCACAAACCAAGCATGAAGACAAAGGAATCATCTGTAGACCCTCGAGACAGGATTGAGGAGGGCTGGGGAAGGTTACAAAAATTTTCTGCTGCTCTGAAAGTTCCAATGAGCACAGTGGCCTCCATCATCCATAAATGGAAATTGTTTGGAAGCACCATGACTCTTCCTAGAGCTGGCCGGCCATATAAGCTGAGTAATCAGGGAAAAAGGGCCTTAGTCAGAAAGGTGTTCAATAACTCGACGGTCACTCGGTTTGAACTTTAGCTTTCTTCTGTGGAGGGAGGAGAACCTTACAGAAGGACAACCAACTGTGCAACAATCCACCAATCAGGCCTGTATGGTAGAGTGGCCAGATAGAACCCACTTCCCACATGGAATTTGCCAAAAGTCATCTGAAGGACTCTTAGACCATAAAAAACAGAATTCTCTGGTCTGGTGAGACTAAAATTGATCTCTTAGGAGTGAATGCCAGGCGTTACGTTTAAAGAAAACCTGGCACCACAAGGTTCATCTTTCAGCAGGACAGTGACCCAAAGCACAGCTCCAAAATATCAATTAAGTGGCTTTACAACAACTCAATGAATTTCCCTGAGTGGCCCAGCCAGAGAGTCCAGACCTAAATCCTATTGAACATCTCTGGAGAGATCTATAAATGGCTGTACACCATCGCTTTCCATCCAACCTGATAGAGTTCGAGAGGTACTGCACAGAGGAATGGGCAAAATGTCCCAAAGACAGGTGTGCCAAGTTTGTGGCATCATATTTAAAAATACTTGAGGCTGTAATTACTGCCAAAGGTGCATCAATTAAATATTGAGCAAAGCCTGTGAATACTTATGTACATTTTTTTTTTTTAATGAAATTCACAATTTCAAAAAATATTTTATCACATTGTCATTATGGGGTATCGCGTGTTTTGAGGAAAAAAAAAATTGCAATCATTTTAGGAAGGCTGTAACATAAAAAAAGTAGAAAAAGTGAAGCGCTATGAATACTTTCCGGATGCACTGTTTATTATATATCATTCTGTCATTCATCTGGAAATAAATCTCCTATAGACAATATTTATGGAAACCTACCTAATAAATATAGTGTATCCAGGCAAACCTAAAAATTTCAAGTGGTTTCTCTTCTTTTTGTATGTGCAAATAATGACAAATAAACACACTAAATTATCTGGCCTTGATATTTGTGCATTCAGGTACCGCAGTGGCATCAGAGGACATATGAAAGCAGTGGTGATGGATCTCCTCAGGCAGTATTTGAGAGTGGAGGTTCAGTTTCAGCATGGTATGCAGCAAGCACTTTGTCTTTTATAGTCATAAACATTAAGAAATTGCTGGAAATTTAGGATGTTGCCTTATTTCACCATTTGACCACAGGATGGCAGTGTAATATCATAGATCCAACCCGGAGTAAATGTAAATATTTAGTTAAATGTTCAAATATAGAATTTATAATAACAGAAGGAAAACATTGAAAGATTTTCCACAAAAAAATTAAATAAAACAAGCATTAGACATTTTCATATAAAAATATGAGCACAAAAGTTCAAAATGGCAAAAGCTAGAAAACACATGGTATATAATTGCAACCCCTACTAGATTTTTAAAAAAGTCTCAAAATATTTTATTTCAATAAATGTTTTATTTGTTCTGATAATTCCTAGTGTTGATAATTTTAATCTAATATTATTTAAATTAAACTGAAACAATCAGAAATTATACTTAAAAGTGTTAAATTCATTTCAATGATTTAAAATGATGTTTAAATAAATTGTAAATATTAGATTAAACTATAAAAGTAGTTTGAGTTGATTTGAAATAAAGCGGTGGTACCAACTGACGACCCTGCAGCTGACCCAAAGGTGCACTGGAGGAGGTGCGGCAGGCAGTAATGTCAAGCAGGTATTTACTACTTGAAATTCGAACATTTGAATTTTTTTAACTAAAGACATAAAATAAACTCTGATATAAGTGTCAGATGTATAAAAATAGACAAACATTACAAATTTTGTCTTAGCAGCTAATGTGGATAAATTGAACTACTAAATTGTAATCGAAGCTGACCATGATTGCAAAAAAAAAAATATTCAAATCAAAAAGCTAAATCAAAATACTTACTTTAATAGAAAGGTGTATAAAACTAGATCAGGTTTCACTTTGTCTGTATTTTATCTGCCTTTCTCTAACCCCACTGTTAAACACATCGGTAAATTAATCTTATTGGTCAGTTAATACCTTATGCATTATATTCAGGATGATTGTTATTTTTAAAGTAACTTCAGGTCTTTAAATAAAATATTAAATAAATTAGCTTTTTTTTCTATGCATTCCATTGTATTAATTCTTCTTATTCTATTAACTTGTTTAAATGAATCAATTTACAATTTATCTGTTTGTTTATGTTATTGCCAGGTCACTATGACAAGTGTGTATTTGCACTACGAGAGGAAAACAAAGTAGACATGGCCAATGTGCTCAACTACATATTCTCTCATGCTCAAGTCACAAAGAAGAACTGTCTGGTCACCATGCTGATTGTGAGTATACTTATTCGTTTTTTTATCATTCAGGAATTCTTGTAGACATAGCAAGATGATAAAATAACACATTTATTAAACTATACTGTTGAAGTCTAAATTATTAGCCCTTCTGTATATTTTTCCCCAATTTCTGTTTAACGGAAAGAAGATTTTATTTCAACACATTTCAGAAGTAACTTTTATTATAATACTAAAAAAAAGATTTTTCTTAGATTTTATTAGGCGAATTAGATTTTTCTTCTATTTTGTAAAAGAGTTTTTCTATAGATAGTTTACAGATTATCATCATATATTGTTAAATATGTATGTGTTTATATATGCATATTTATTATATATATTATATATATATATATATAATATTATATATATATATATATATATATATATATATATATATATATATATATATATATATATATATATATATATTATATACATTATGTATATGTGTACATGTTTATATGTGTGTTCGAAGGGGTGTACTGTATATGTATGTACATGCCATGTTTAGGCATATTTATCTGTACATATTTGCTTATTAGTTCTATATATTTTTAATATATATAAGCTAGTGTATGTCATTGTATGTATATGTGCCACTATCTATGCTGAATTAATGATGATAGCTAACCCTGTTTGTTATAATATTTGAGTGATATTGAGATATTTAAATGAGTCATGTGACCGTAGTACTCAAGAGACTGAATGCACCTGATCACCGTTACCCCGATGAAGGCAGTTCCTTGCCGAAACGCGTAGGTTTTTTTAAGGTTTAGCCACGTGAATAGAGGCTTTTTTAATTTTTCTACATTTTTGAGTGCATTGGACTGATTTCTGTTGTAATTTTAATAATAGTTTTAGTTTCCCTTAATAGTTTTAAGGCCTGATTTCTTTTATCTTTGCCATAATGGCAGTACATAAGATTTTACTAGATATTTTTCAAGATACTAGTATTCAGCTTAAAGTAACATTTTAAAGGCTTAATTAGGTTAACTAGGCAGGTTAGGGTAATCAGGCAAGTCATTGTATAACAATGGTTTGTTCTGTAGGCAATAGAAAATTGCATTGCTTAGGGGGCTAATAATTTTGACCTTAAAAATAGTTTTAAAAAAATTAAAAGCAGCTTTTATTCTAGCCGAAATAAAACAAATAAGACTTTCTCCAGAAGAAGAAACATTATAGGAAATAATGTTAATTTTTTGCTAAAAAAAAAAAAAATCACAGGATGTCAAATAATTTTGAATTCAACTGTATGTGTCTGACTTCTCTTTATAGGATCAGCTATGTGGGCGAGACCCGACCCTGACGGACGAGCTGATGGCCATACTCACAGAGCTCACACAGCTCAGCAAGACCACCAATGCCAAGGTGGCATTGCGGGCACGGCAGGTTCTCATCGCTTCTCACCTTCCCTCATATGAGCTGCGACACAATCAGGTGGAATCCATTTTCCTGTCTGCCATCGACATGTATGGACACCAGTTCTGCATTGAGAACCTGCAGGTACACTGTAAAAACGTTGGCTTCCACACAACTCCTTCATGTTGTCCCATAGGTTGCTATCAGTGTATGCAAACTGGCACTGCAAGTTGTTGGCTGTCCACAGAGCCCAGATAAGACTTATGACAGTTCATATTTCTGCTGAGCCACAGAACGCCATATGCATAGTTACTACCAATTCATGGTGCGGCGCATCTTGTGTGGGACCTTTAGAAATATATACATTAAACACATTACAAATCATATAAAATGTATTAATAATGTACTAATTTATTAAAATTTGCAATAATAATAATTGATGTATATATTTTGGCTTTAGATCATGAATTAGATTAACAAATTGATGTTAAACTGTTGTTGAATCTGCAGTAGGATTTATTATGATGTTCATTATTATATATTTTTTTAATGAATGAAAATAAGGAAACATTTTACACAGTTAAAGTTCCTTCACAACGTTAAAACATCAAAAAAGCATCATTTAAAAAAAAAAAGCATTTCTGATGAAACATAACACTAAACACCAATTTGGAATTCTTGTAGACATAGCAAGATGATAAAATAACACATTTATTAAACTATACTGTTGAAGTCTAAATTATTAGCCCTTCTGTATATTTTTCCCCAATTTCTGTTTAACGGAAAGAAGATTTTATTTCAACACATTTCAGAAGTAACTTTTATTATAATACTAAAAAAAAGATTTTTCTTAGATTTTATTAGGCGAATTAGATTTTTCTTCTATTTTGTAAAAGAGTTTTTCTATAGATAGTTTACAGATTATCATCATATATTGTTAAATATGTATGTGTTTATATATGCATATTTATTATATATATTATATATATATATATATAATATTATATATATATATATATATATATATATATATATATATATATATATATATATATATATATATATATATATTATATACATTATGTATATGTGTACATGTTTATATGTGTGTTCGAAGGGGTGTACTGTATATGTATGTACATGCCATGTTTAGGCATATTTATCTGTACATATTTGCTTATTAGTTCTATATATTTTTAATATATATAAGCTAGTGTATGTCATTGTATGTATATGTGCCACTATCTATGCTGAATTAATGATGATAGCTAACCCTGTTTGTTATAATATTTGAGTGATATTGAGATATTTAAATGAGTCATGTGACCGTAGTACTCAAGAGACTGAATGCACCTGATCACCGTTACCCCGATGAAGGCAGTTCCTTGCCGAAACGCGTAGGTTTTTTTAAGGTTTAGCCACGTGAATAGAGGCTTTTTTAATTTTTCTACATTTTTGAGTGCATTGGACTGATTTCTGTTGTAATTTTAATAATAGTTTTAGTTTCCCTTAATAGTTTTAAGGCCTGATTTCTTTTATCTTTGCCATAATGGCAGTACATAAGATTTTACTAGATATTTTTCAAGATACTAGTATTCAGCTTAAAGTAACATTTTAAAGGCTTAATTAGGTTAACTAGGCAGGTTAGGGTAATCAGGCAAGTCATTGTATAACAATGGTTTGTTCTGTAGGCAATAGAAAATTGCATTGCTTAGGGGGCTAATAATTTTGACCTTAAAAATAGTTTTAAAAAAATTAAAAGCAGCTTTTATTCTAGCCGAAATAAAACAAATAAGACTTTCTCCAGAAGAAGAAACATTATAGGAAATAATGTTAATTTTTTGCTAAAAAAAAAAAAAATCACAGGATGTCAAATAATTTTGAATTCAACTGTATGTGTCTGACTTCTCTTTATAGGATCAGCTATGTGGGCGAGACCCGACCCTGACGGACGAGCTGATGGCCATACTCACAGAGCTCACACAGCTCAGCAAGACCACCAATGCCAAGGTGGCATTGCGGGCACGGCAGGTTCTCATCGCTTCTCACCTTCCCTCATATGAGCTGCGACACAATCAGGTGGAATCCATTTTCCTGTCTGCCATCGACATGTATGGACACCAGTTCTGCATTGAGAACCTGCAGGTACACTGTAAAAACGTTGGCTTCCACACAACTCCTTCATGTTGTCCCATAGGTTGCTATCAGTGTATGCAAACTGGCACTGCAAGTTGTTGGCTGTCCACAGAGCCCAGATAAGACTTATGACAGTTCATATTTCTGCTGAGCCACAGAACGCCATATGCATAGTTACTACCAATTCATGGTGCGGCGCATCTTGTGTGGGACCTTTAGAAATATATACATTAAACACATTACAAATCATATAAAATGTATTAATAATGTACTAATTTATTAAAATTTGCAATAATAATAATTGATGTATATATTTTGGCTTTAGATCATGAATTAGATTAACAAATTGATGTTAAACTGTTGTTGAATCTGCAGTAGGATTTATTATGATGTTCATTATTATATATTTTTTTAATGAATGAAAATAAGGAAACATTTTACACAGTTAAAGTTCCTTCACAACGTTAAAACATCAAAAAAGCATCATTTAAAAAAAAAAAGCATTTCTGATGAAACATAACACTAAACACCAATTTAGAATTCTTGTAGACATAGCAAGATGATAAAATAACACATTTATTAAACTATACTGTTGAAGTCTAAATTATTAGCCCTTCTGTATATTTTTCCCCAATTTCTGTTTAACGGAAAGAAGATTTTATTTCAACACATTTCAGAAGTAACTTTTATTATAATACTAAAAAAAAGATTTTTCTTAGATTTTATTAGGCGAATTAGATTTTTCTTCTATTTTGTAAAAGAGTTTTTCTATAGATAGTTTACAGATTATCATCATATATTGTTAAATATGTATGTGTTTATATATGCATATTTATTATATATATTATATATATATATATATAATATTATATATATATATATATATATATATATATATATATATATATATATATATATATATATATATATATATATTATATACATTATGTATATGTGTACATGTTTATATGTGTGTTCGAAGGGGTGTACTGTATATGTATGTACATGCCATGTTTAGGCATATTTATCTGTACATATTTGCTTATTAGTTCTATATATTTTTAATATATATAAGCTAGTGTATGTCATTGTATGTATATGTGCCACTATCTATGCTGAATTAATGATGATAGCTAACCCTGTTTGTTATAATATTTGAGTGATATTGAGATATTTAAATGAGTCATGTGACCGTAGTACTCAAGAGACTGAATGCACCTGATCACCGTTACCCCGATGAAGGCAGTTCCTTGCCGAAACGCGTAGGTTTTTTTAAGGTTTAGCCACGTGAATAGAGGCTTTTTTAATTTTTCTACATTTTTGAGTGCATTGGACTGATTTCTGTTGTAATTTTAATAATAGTTTTAGTTTCCCTTAATAGTTTTAAGGCCTGATTTCTTTTATCTTTGCCATAATGGCAGTACATAAGATTTTACTAGATATTTTTCAAGATACTAGTATTCAGCTTAAAGTAACATTTTAAAGGCTTAATTAGGTTAACTAGGCAGGTTAGGGTAATCAGGCAAGTCATTGTATAACAATGGTTTGTTCTGTAGGCAATAGAAAATTGCATTGCTTAGGGGGCTAATAATTTTGACCTTAAAAATAGTTTTAAAAAAATTAAAAGCAGCTTTTATTCTAGCCGAAATAAAACAAATAAGACTTTCTCCAGAAGAAGAAACATTATAGGAAATAATGTTAATTTTTTGCTAAAAAAAAAAAAATCACAGGATGTCAAATAATTTTGAATTCAACTGTATGTGTCTGACTTCTCTTTATAGGATCAGCTATGTGGGCGAGACCCGACCCTGACGGACGAGCTGATGGCCATACTCACAGAGCTCACACAGCTCAGCAAGACCACCAATGCCAAGGTGGCATTGCGGGCACGGCAGGTTCTCATCGCTTCTCACCTTCCCTCATATGAGCTGCGACACAATCAGGTGGAATCCATTTTCCTGTCTGCCATCGACATGTATGGACACCAGTTCTGCATTGAGAACCTGCAGGTACACTGTAAAAACGTTGGCTTCCACACAACTCCTTCATGTTGTCCCATAGGTTGCTATCAGTGTATGCAAACTGGCACTGCAAGTTGTTGGCTGTCCACAGAGCCCAGATAAGACTTATGACAGTTCATATTTCTGCTGAGCCACAGAACGCCATATGCATAGTTACTACCAATTCATGGTGCGGCGCATCTTGTGTGGGACCTTTAGAAATATATACATTAAACACATTACAAATCATATAAAATGTATTAATAATGTACTAATTTATTAAAATTTGCAATAATAATAATTGATGTATATATTTTGGCTTTAGATCATGAATTAGATTAACAAATTGATGTTAAACTGTTGTTGAATCTGCAGTAGGATTTATTATGATGTTCATTATTATATATTTTTTTAATGAATGAAAATAAGGAAACATTTTACACAGTTAAAGTTCCTTCACAACGTTAAAACATCAAAAAAGCATCATTTAAAAAAAAAAAGCATTTCTGATGAAACATAACACTAAACACCAATTTAATGGCTGCTGAAATGTTAACAATGACTCAGGAAAAATGAAATTTTAAAGTATTTTAAAATGAAAAACTGTTATTCAGTATTACTCCTTTTATTCCATATAACTGCTTTTAATAGATTTTTTATATACAGCCATGTTGAAAATAAGTGACTTAAAAAACATTAATCATAATTACTAATCCCAATATTACAATGCTAGTATATAACTGCAATTTCATTTGATCAATCTATTGGCCTAGAGCAGTTTTTCTCAACCATGTTTCCTAAGGACCACCAACACTCCATGTTTTGGATGTCTCCTTTGTCACACCTATTACAAATCTGAAAGTCTCTGCTAATGGCCGATGATCTGAATCAGGTGTGTTTGGTTAATAAATGTGTTTGGATATGTGCGTAGCTTGTGGTCCTCCAGGAACGTGGTTGAGAAACACTGGCCTAGAGCACTTCAACATTTTTTTTTGTACTATTTTGCTCTAGAACATTATGGAATTATTGAAACTTTGCTTCCCTTTCCTAGAAACTGATCCTGTCAGAAACATCCATCTTTGATGTGCTGCCAAATTTCTTTTACCATAGTAATCAGGTGGTACGGATGGCTGCTCTCGAGGTGAGACTGCGCCATTTTTTATCTATTTATTCAGGAAATGGAGTGCTTGGGGTTGTCTTCATACAATAAACATTCTGCTGCTCATTCTCTTCCCTTAGGTGTATGTTCGTAGAGCTTACATCGCTTATGAACTCAACAGCGTCCAGCACCGTCAGCTGAAGGACAACACCTGCATCGTGGAGTTCCAGTTCATGCTGCCCACATCCCACCCCAACAGGTACCTCACCATGTCCCATTATCCTGCTTTTCACCATTTTTGCCATTCCCTTGCTGGGACTTTGGAGGAGATGAAACACTGTGTAAGACAGGGGCGAATGTAGTCATTTTCCTTGGTGCAGACAAAAGTGTTGAATAAATTTAGTTTTAAAGAAATTTACTGTGTATCTAGGAATGTCACAGACTTTTTTGGTTAATAATAGGGCTATACTCCAACTCAAAACCATGTAATGGATGAGCATCTATCTTTTCACTATATAAGAACACCGCAAACAAACATTTTGAGAAACTGGCTGGTTCAGGCCTTTCATGGATGCAGGACGCATACATTTGACACAAAGTCTCAGTAAGTGATTCATTGAATTGAGTTCAAAATGGCAGATTGTTTTTAAACAAAGCGAGTAATTAAATTTTAGGCTCTGTTGTTTCTGATATTTTTAATGAGAATTATTATTTAATTGCTCCTCCACTGTCCCACAATCCACATCCCCTTTCACCCTTAAAATGCTCTACTTGTGTACAGTCTGTGCCACTGTTTTAGTGTCTGCTGTGATCAGGAGGTTTGTATGAAGTAGGAGTAGAAACATTTTATAGTAGTGACACAGGGTCTGAATCACAGGGCCAAAAGTTCGTCTTTAAGGTGTCTCTCATCTGTACTGGCCGCATCCGTGTGTTTCAGGTGACACCGATCTGTTAAAACCAAAGAATGCCAACAATAGAGGACATGCTAATTGGCTGGATCTATACTAGCTTCCTTTCTTTTTCATTCTCTGCTGATTCATGCTTGTGAACTGATGTAGTGTAGCTTTCTTTTATGCATGTTATGTTTCTGCCTTTTCCTATTTGTGCATTTATCACATTAAAAACTTCCAGTATCTGCTTTTCCAGCTGTCATTGCTGCTTTGCCTGTCATTTAGATTGAAAGGAACGGCTTAGTACTTTGTACTTGAATGGTTCTAGCTGCAGTGTTTCAAAAATGAAATTGTTGCATGTGAGGGAGGGCCGTCATATGTCAAGTGTGTGGCTTGGTTTAGATTCAAATTGTGCTGTATATCACAGTTTTAACCTCTGAAATCAAATGAAAAAGCATGTATATAAATTATATTTAACAGAGAAATGCACATGTTAATATGTTGGGCAGTAAAGCAATATTTATTTACAAAATGTAACATAAAATGAACGCAAATATAAGTATTTACTTACAGTGTTGCTAAAATATTGGTGTACTAAAATGAACTGAGCACTAGATGGCAGCAAATGATTTAAATCAAGGGTGTCAAACTTCGTTCTTGAAGGGCTGCCTGTAGGTTACAAACAAACCTGAGGGACTCAATTAGTATAATCAACTGTGTTTGATTAAAGGCCCCCAGGAAACTTGAGTTTGACACCTGCGATGCAAATATACAGTGATAAGCATAACCAAGTTTACCCCATTTAGAATTTTATTTTTAGTTATTTCTAAGTGAATACAGGCAATGTATTTTGATGCATTTAAACAAAAAAAGATTTGTTAAACAGATATATTTATTAAAATACTATTTTAGTCACAGAACATAGATAGTAAGAACAAAGATAATAAATTTTAATTCATGCAAAATATTGCAGAAAATACAAACTACAACATTCAACAAAATTGTATAAAATTGTTGTTTCTCTTGATTTTTGCTTTTTTTGAAAATGTTATTTAATATTTTCTCTAACTTTTAAATTTGTGCTACTAATTTTTGAACCATTATTGTAAGTTAACTAATTTATATGGATAAATATAATATTGTAAAGCATCTTATAGAAAAAAATTATTTAAATGAGAGATTTGTAAGGGGTGTACTTGTATATGCTTAGCACTGTTAATGCATTCAAAAACTTTAAAAATTAAAAAGTCATGATGTTTGTATATATATAATCAATATCAATTATTTACAGTTTACCAATAATTATGAAACAATATCAGTTGATAATGTTTAACACAACAAATGAAAACCTCAAACAATTTTTTATCAGTTTTATTTTCAGAATTTCTTGATGAATGTAAAGTTCAGAATAACTTTAATAATTTGAGAAATCTAATTTATCTTGTTTTTATTTATTACACCTCTTTTTTTTTTAAACAGATTAAAATGAACTTTTTAAATTTATTTAATACATTTTTAATTAATATCACCTTCCAATGAGTTTATTGCACATTTGCATTATTCTGGAGACGTGCAGCAAGAAGGTTGCTGATTCAAGTCTCTGCTGGGTCAGTTGGCATTTCAGAGTGGATGCATGTTCTCCCAGTGTTCGCATGGGTTTCCTCAGGTTGCTCGGGTTTCCCCCATAGTCCAAAGACAGGTGAATAGAATAAACCAAATTGGCTCTAGTGTATGTGTGTAAATGTGAGTGTATGGGTGTTTCCCAGCAATGGATTGCTGCTGGAAGGGCATCTGCTGTGTAAAACATATGCTGGATAAGTTGGTGGTTCATTTCCCTGTAGCGACCCGTAATGAATAAAGGGACTAAGCCAAAGGAAAATGAATGAGTGAATAATACCGTAAAAGAAGGGAAAATGTGTTTGATTACTCTGATATAAACATGATAACTTGTTAAAACAAATTCCTAAAACAGCCCTCATTTATCATTAAGCAAAATATAATTTATTATTTCTTCAGTTTGATTTTGGAGTGACGTGATCATGACATGCATTTGATTTACTCTTCAATTAACAAAACCAGTCCGTTTAGCAGTCTTATTTAGTGACCACATCCAAACAATCACTAAGGACTCATTAGAGGTCATTGTACAATTCAAGTGCGCTGAAATCAGATTGGAGCTTTCTATTATGTGAAAAGACCACACACTTCACATGTGACTGAGCCTACCCATTGATGCCTGACACTAACCAATCAGTAATCAATGTTGTTTGATTGCAGAGGGAACATCCCCACTCTAAACAGGTATAGTACACATTCTTTCTTCCCTAAACCACAGTGTAGACTTAGAAAAATGGAGTAGTAACAACAGCATGTGTTTAAATGTAGTGGTCATTGTGTACTATCCAGTAGTACTACATCAATATTCTCTTACATACTGTAGTATCATCACATAATAATGTAAGTATTCTACTGCAAGATGTGATTTTGGCAATATAAAAAATATGCTAATATAATATTTCATGCTATTTGTACTCATCTTTTATATACACTAGTATATTTTTTGCAATGTATGGGTACTTTATCATTATGTTCTAGTGATAACCTATTGGATACTAGTACTATTTATGTAGTACTATTATGTACTATTATGTACTTTATGTAGGTGTTGGCAACTACTGAATATACACTAATTAAATTCATCATTAGAAACTCTAATACCTTTATATTAATATCTATTAAATAGACGATAGTACTTTAATCAGTCCATTCTACAGTAGTACTTATTTCAGTAGTGAATGGTAACGGTTTTATTGTTACTACACTAGTTATAATTTGAATTTCATTGTATTTATGTTTTGCCATTCACTTTTAAAGAGATCTACAATTATACTTTAATTATTAAATAAATAGTAATACCTATGAAAATGTGGGGTTTTTAACTCAATGCTGGGTCAAATATGGACAAACCCAGCAGTTTAAAAGAAAAGTAATTTAATTTGTATGTAAATAATTAACCTATTGTTGGTTTTGTCTGTATTTGACCCTTCATTTGGTTAATACAACTCAACATTTTTTATTATAGTGTAAAGAGTAAGTAATTGTTTATTTTCAAAAAGTAGTAGAAACTAAAGAATGTGCGCTAATAGCTAATAAATAAGTATTTGTACTTAATGAAGAAAATACTAATATCTAAAAAACGTTACTAGTAGCATGATAATAGATCTTAGTACAGTTTGTGAATTAAGTGTGTGAAATGAAGTGTTTGCCCCTTACTGATTTTTTTATTTTTTTATTTGCATGTTTGTCACACTATAATGTTTCAGATCATCAAACAAATTTATACTCACAATCAAGGCTTTTGCTATTAAAGGATATCCACAGGGCCTTAAAGCCTTAAAATGTCTTAAATGTCAAAAGGTAAATTTTAGGCCTCAAAAAGTCTTAAATTTACTGAAATGCTGTGTTGTAGGTCTTAAATATTTTTATTATTTAACATGTCTTAATTTTCCTTTGTTCATGTATAGCTACCCGATCTGGCCATACAATCACCAACAATTCATCTAATTAAAACTTTATAATGAAAAATAGCATTTTATTACTTTCCTTACAGTAACATTTGCTTAAAAATTCTCCATTTATTTACTGCTGAGAATACTGACTTGGCCTACATTTTTTATTATTAAATTATTATTGTAGACTGAAGTAATTGATTTGTTTTGTTCTATTGTTGGTAAGGGTTATAGGGTTTGTAAATGTATATATTTGAAATTTAATAAAAAAGAAAAAATTCTTACAAAATGATTATTATTGTATTATTGAATGTATTTTAATTATTTATTGATAGCGCAAGTGAAAATCTTTTCTAAGTGGGATATTCGAAAAAAAAAAAAAATCCTTAGCATTTAGCCCTGTATAAGTCCAAAATTTCATACATAATGGTCTTAATGTCTTAAAGTCTTAAATTTCACTTGATGAAACCTGAAGATACCCTGTATTAATGGGGTGAAATGCAAAATTAAATAGCCCTGTGTGAAAAAGTGTTTGCACCCCAAACCTAATAACAGGTTGGGCCATTCTTAGCAGCAACAACTTGCAATCAGTCGGTTACATCGCTGTGGAGTAATTTTGGCATACTCATCTTTGGAAAATTGTTGTAATTCAGACATGTTCTAGTTTTTTCTGAGCATGAACTGCCTTTTTTCATGACACAACATTTCAATAGGATTAGAATCAGGACTTTGACTAGGCCACTCCAAAGTCTTCATCCAAAGTCAAAAACTTTTTCACACCAGGTTATGTACTATAGGATTAGATTTTATGTTTATATAAACCAACCTTTTTGTTTAAAAACTGCATGATGTTTACTTGTGTTATTTTTGACTAATATGATTGATGATGATTGACTGAAACATTAAAATTTGACAAACATGCAAAAAATATATACAAGATCAGTAAAGGTCAGTTTCACAACACTGTATATACAGTGTAATTCATAAATATTTGGACATCCACACAATTCTAACATTTTTTGCTTTAAACCAATACAATGGATTTGAAATTAAACTAACAAGATGTACTTTAACTGCTGTCAGCTTTAATTTGAAGGTATTTACATCCAAATCAAGTGAACGGTGTAAGAATTACAACAGTTTGCATATGTGCCTCCCACTTGTTAAGGGTCCAATAGTAGTTGGACAATTGGCTTTTAAGCTGTTCCATGGCCAGATGTGTGTTATTGCCTTAATATGCCAATTACATTGAGCAGAGAAAAGGTCCAGAGTTTCAAGTGTGCTAATTGCATTTGAAATCTGAATCTGTCACAAAAAGCTGTCACTGTCAGTCAAGCAAGCCATTATTAGGCTGAAAAAACAAAACAAACCCATCAGAGAGATAGAAAAAAACATTGGGTGTGGCCAAAACAACTGTTTAGAACATTCTTAAAAAGTAACAACGCATTAGTGAGCTCAGCAACACCAAAAGACCCCGAAGACTATGGAAATATCCGTGGTGGACGACTGAAGAATTCTTTCTCTGGTTAAGAAAACACCTTTCACAACTGTTGGCCAGATCAAGAACACTCTCCAGGAGGTAGGTCTATGTGTGTCAGAGTTAACAATCAAGAGAAGACTACACCAGAGTGAAAACAGAGGGTCCGCCACAAGATGCATACCATTGGTGAATTTCAAAAACAGGAAGGCCAAATTAGAGTTCTAAAAAAGCCCTCACAGTTCTGGATCAACATCCTATCGACAGATTAGACCACGATTAACTTGTACCAGAGTGATAAGAAGAGAAGAGCATGGAGAAGCAAAGGAATTGCTCATGATCTTCAGCAGTGAAGCATGGTGGTAGTAGTTGCGTGGCGTGGGCATGACTGTCAAAAGAACTGGTTCTTTTGTATTTATTGATGATGTGACTGCTGAAAAAAGCAGCAGAATGAATTGTGAAATGTTTCAGGCAATATTTTCGGCTCATATTAATCCAAATGCTTCAAAGCCCATTGGACAGCGCTTGACAGTGCAGATGGAGAGTGACCCAAACCATACTGCAATAGCAGCCAAAGAGTTTATGAAGGGAAAGAAGTGGAATGTATTGCAATGGCCAAATCAATCACCTGATTTAAATATGATTGAGCATGTATTTCACTTGCTAAAGACATAACTAAAGGGAAAAAGCCCAAAGTACAAGCAGGAATTGAAGGCAGTTGCTGTAGATACAAGGCAGAGCACCACCAGGAATGAAACCCAGCGTCTGCTGATGTCTATGCGTTCCAGACTTCAGGCTGTGATTGACTACAAAAGATTTGCAACCCAGTATTAAAAAGTGAAAGTTTCATTTTTGATTATTATTCTGTCCAATTACTTTTGGACCCTTAACAAGTGGGAGGCACCTATGCAAACTGTTGTAATTCCTACAGCGTTCACCAGATTTAGATGTAAAAAAAATAAATTTATTAAATTAAAGCTGACAGTCAGCAGTTAAAGCCATTGTGTTGGTGTGTAGAGCCAAAAATGATAGAATTGTGTCAATGTCCAAATATTTAAGGACCTAACTATATGTAAATAAAGTAAATAAACATAAAATAAACAATACAGAATGAATTGCCTTCATCTAATGACCAAAGCTTCTATGCATCTCTTAAAATTCTGAATCAAATGATTGCAGTTACTGTGAAACTTAATGAAAAAGCCCTAAGTTGGTGCTTTATTCTGTTTAGTCTCTGTAAACACAAACTAATTTGCATGGCTTATTTCACCACTCTCAACACAAATGTGTGTCTTAAATCGCTGTTGATGTGTATGTGTGTGTGTTTGTGTGAGCGCATAAAAAATGGAGATACTCTTATAATATGTTAAGTGAGCTGATATTGTCTCGACCTCCTACTGGGTTTGAATTAACTACATAATAGTGGTGATTAAATCTGGTATGTGTTCGGTGTGATTGTTTGAGTACATTCTTTGTGCGTTTGTGTGTGTCAAAGCATGACTATCAACTTGTCCTCCCAGGAAACTGTCTGCCCCACTGCAGGACTACAAACCTCCAGCTAACACAGCTAACACTAGTGGAGCCACAGAGGCAGCTAGTGACTCTGCTGAGAGTGAGGACAGGTAGAGCAGGACAGACTACAGGCTTTAATCACAGATAGGGTTTAATCAGTCTACTCTAATCCATGCACTTTCATGTTAATGAAGTCTGGGTGTAAATTTTTAAATTTGGTCTTAATGGATAAGGGATCTATGTCTATACTAACATCGAATGAGATGCGTTACTTACTGAAGTTCAGTAAATTATGACAATTTTTGGTAATGTGTTGATTTAGATCAGCATTGCTCAACCACGTTCCTTAAGGACTACCAGGACTACATGTTTTGGATATCTCTTCAGTCTGTCACACCCAGTACAGGTCTTTCAGTCTCTGCTAATGAGCTGATGATCTGAGTCAGGTGTGTTTGGTTAAGGAGACATGGAATATGTGCAGAGCTGGTGGTCCACCAGGAACGTGGTTGAGAAACACTGGATTAGTTTGTAATTATGGGTGTTATCAGATGAATATTCCAGGTTAAATTTAACATTGAATCAATAGGTGTATTCCTTTTGTGTTAATTGCCACAAGAATTCAGTTCATTGTCATATTCACTAGTTTTGAAAAAAAAATTGTTAATAATGAATTTGTAGTAGTTGGGAGTTATTGAAGAAAAAGCATTAAGTTTAAGCAGAAATAAAATATGTTAAGGTTATTTAAATAGTCTAGACCAGGGGTGGCCAACCCTGTTCCTGGAGAGCCACCATCCTACAGATTTCAGTTGCTACCCATATCAAACACACCTGAACCAATTAATTAGGACCTGAACACCACGTGGTAATTACAGGCAGGTGTGTTTGATATGGGTTGCAACTCAAATTGCAGGAAGGTGGCTCTCCAGGAACAGGGTTGGCCACCCCTGGTCTAGACAGTTTAACAGTTTGAATATTGAGTGTATTTACATAATATACAATCAAGCACATTAACAATTAAGTTTCTGCTTTTAAAAATTGTGTAGTCCAGGCTTATTAATGCCACAGGCTGAAATATGATGAAAACCATATAATTTTTTGTATAGTTGAAGCCCCTCTGTTTATTTCCCCCCCAATTTCTGTTTAACGGAGAGAAGATTGTTTTAATTTCTAAGCATAATAGTTTTAATAACTCATTTCTAATAACTGATTTATTTTATCTTTGCCATGATGACAGTAAATAATATTTGACTAAATATTTTTCAAGACACTTCTATACAGCTTAAAGTGCCATTTAAATGCATTTAATGGTTTGTTTTGTTGACTATCAAATATATATATATAGCTTAAAGGACCTATTAATTTTTAACTTAAAATAAAAAAATGCTTTTATTGTAGCCGAAATAAAATAAATAAGACTTTCTCCAGAAGAAAAAAAAATGTTATCAGACATGATAATGTTATAAGACTGTGAAAATGTCCTTACTTTGTTAAACATCATTTGGGAAATGTTTAAAAAAGAAAAAAAAATCTAAATAATATGTAATAAAATTGTAACTGAAAAAGATTATATCTGATATCTGATAAAAAGATTATATCTGATAAAAAATTTTGTTTTTCTGTACATCATAATGTTTTATTCAATTAAATTCCTATATGTAATGTAAATAATGGCAAGATTCGAGATTAACAGATGTGTCATTCGGTTTAGCAAATAGTTTAAATCCCCAAAAAATATTGTCAGACATACTGTATTTACAGCAAGAATCATTTTATGAGGTATTAAATGACTACCTTGGACATTTAAAAATCGACATTAGTTCTAACAACATACTTGTATGTAACCATTTGTTCCCTAGTTTTATGTAAAGTGCTTAGCTTATACAAGTACACCCCTTACAAATCTATTTTTTAAATTCATATTTTAATAGGAAGCTGTACAGTATTATATTTGTGCATATACATTAGATTATTCAGTAATAAAGCCAAATCTGGATAACGATAACGGCCAAAAAACTAGTTGCCTTTTTTCATTTGTTTTAGAAAAATGTTAAATAAAAATTTTAAAAGGAGGGAAAATCAAGAGAAGCAAATAATTGAAAATTATTTTTTTTGCAATATTTTGCTTGAATTTAATTGTATTATCTTTCAATTTGTAAATATGTTTGACTAAAATATGATTTTAATAAATATATCTCTTTAATGAATCTGTTTTATTTAAATGCACCAAGATACTCTACATTGCCTATATTCACTGAGAAATAAATAAAAATATTCATTTTCAAAATGGCGTGTAATCAGTTATGCTGAGCACTGTTAATAATGGCATTGTTAACTAAATGATTTGCTCATTTTAATTTAATCCAGAATATCCTTATCACACATCAGCATTGCATGCTTTGTGTGTGCCTCCATAGAAAAAACTAGCACCGGTAATAAAATAACCAGTTACTATTACAATTTCTGATTTTAGAAAGCAGAATGATTTTTTGACAGTATACCCATTAAGTTTTATAACTTTCATAACACATTTAGAACTCTTTTTTTTTTTTTTTTTTTTTTTCAATTTGAAAACCTTTTGTTGTTAATGTACTGTATAACAATAAAAAATTTATTTTTAGTTTCTTTTTTAAAAGAGAGGGATGACTCAAATATAAGATCTCTCTTATATTCTATCTCTTATATCATATCTCATATATGATATTTAAAACCAGTACGCCAATAGATTTTATTTAACCTGGAATATTTTAAATGAACCTGCTCTTCCACCGTAATTTACAGTAAAGTATTTGAATGAGAATGCATGAATTCACCCTTATGATACAGTAAAGTTTAATTCATTCTTGTTTTTATTTTAATTGCCTCCTGACAACTGAGCTTTTTATAAAAGGTTCAGATCTCACACATCAGTGTGTTCACATTCAGCTTGTGAGGAGGCGATGCTTTTCTCATTCACTCCTGTGATTTGGACTGATGTGTGATGGTGGTGATTTGGTCGTTCCCCTGGGGTGATCTACCACTTCATTAAGAGGTTACGGGTATGCAGCTGGGTTAATAACTGAATGTCTTTTGTGTTTCTGAATGCGTGTTGTGCTCTCAGAATGTCCTTTTCCTCAAACCTGAACCACTACGGCATGGTCCACGTGGCCAGCGTTAGTGATGTGCTCCTAGACACCTCCTTTACCCCACCCTGTCAGCGCATGGGAGCCATGGTTTCCTTCCGCTCTTTCCAGGAGTTCACCAGGTTAGTGGCAGTCTTACATTATTGATGCTAAGTTCCATACAATTTAATCATGTTGTTCCAACACTAATTTATTAAGTTAACCTCATTATTTTAACAAATTTAAGTGGATTTCACATAAAACAATTAAAGCCATCCCCCTCCTTAAAAAAGTTGTGTTAAATCAGCCTATTTAAAAAAAAAACAAAAAAAAAATTAATTTGCTGTTTATTTTGCTTGTTAAATGACCCTGATTTTACTTGCATCTTTTATCTTTATTATGGGCAGAGTTGGGTGTAACGCGCCCCCCAGTAACGCATTATTGTATCCTAATTACATTTTTGAGGAACTCTGTAATGTAACGAATGACATTTTAAATTTGTGTGATTTGATTACAGTTACTAAAGCAGGGGTGTCCTGGAGGCCCGCTGCCCTGCTGAGTTTAGCTCCAACTTGCTTCAACACGCCTGCCAGTATAACTAGTAAGAACTTGATAGCTGGTTATGGTGTGTTTGCTTAGGGTTGAAGCTAAACTTTTCAGGACACCGGCCCTTCAGGACTGAGTTTGGACACCCCTGAACTAAAGTCAATGTAATTGCGTTACTTGCATTACAATTATAGTTTTTAGAAGAAAAAAAAAAAGGTTTTTTAAATCATGTATTCCGCTGCAACGTCAGTTAATAAGCATGCACTTTTAAACTGCTGGAGAACACGAGCTGAAATGGTTTCTGTTAAAAGTGTTTGCTGTGAAATTTAATCTATGTCCAGTCTCCTAAGAACCTTTGACTGCTTTTAACTTAAGCAACTTGTTCAAGCACTTGAACAGAAAGCATTCTACTACAATACTCATCATTGAGGAGGACACCGGCACCCAAAAACACAGTGGCCCAATTCAGCCTAAACAAAGGCTAAATTGGATTTTTGTGCTGAATCGGGAGTGAAGGTATCTTTTTCATGTGAAGATAAGCGTAGCTGCTCGGGGCAGTTTATATATCTCTTCTTTTGCGCGCGCACGTGTATTAGGATCGCATATTGCCTAGACACACTAGTTGAAAACCGCTGGTCACATGACAAGACATGACGAATCAGCTTCATACTTTGTATGAAATATACACATTTCGGTAGACTAATTACCTCAGACAAACCCAAAACACCCAAACACTACAGTGCTTTTTCCATACTATGGATGTCAAAGGTTTCAGGTATCCAGTTTTCTTCATGTAATTTTTTGTGTTAAAAACAATAGACAAACAGGTTTGGAACAAGTGAATGATGAGAGAATTTTAAGTTTGGGTGAACTCTTTAAGTCTTTTGAATATGTCAAGCTGCTGTGACCAACCCACGTTTTTCAGTGAAAATCAAATTACTAAAAGAGCTGCAGTTTATTTTATAGTTTAGTTTATGGGTATATTTTATGCTTTAAAAGTAACTTCAAAGTAAAGTAATTTGTAATCTGATTACTTTTTACATGAAGTAGTTAGTAATGCGATCAGATTACAATTTTTCCAGTAGTAATCAGTAATTTTTAATTGATTACTTTTCAAAAGTAACTTTCCCAACACTGATTATGTGTGTATGCCCCACCTTATTGCTATTTATGGTCAAAAGTGACTCTAGCGTTTAATAACATTGCTGGTGCCACACCAGTTCTGGCAAACTTAACTAAACTGAGCTATACCTTGGACCTAATACTGTAAATTAAATTAATTAAGCCATTGGCATATCATTATAAATAGATAATAAAAACATTTAGAATAAAAACATTTGTATAAAAAGGTTTTAAAACCCATTATAATATATGAACACAGTCATATCAATATAGTTTTAAGGAGGATTAGTTTGGTTCACAAGCAATGTGTTTAGTTCTTGGTTTGCGAAGTAATTTTTAAGATTAGACTGATATATAGAAAAGAAAAATAAAAGGCTTTTATTTTGTTAATATCATGATGTAATTTAATGAGTGACAAGAAAAAGCAGATATGCTTGAGCGTTCTTGTGACTTCTCTTTTTTGTTTTGTTATTCATGGTTATTTTGAATGCTAGTAAATAGCAAAACTGGTAAAAATCAGGATCCCTCAACATTGCCAAACTGATTATTATATGATTTTAAAAACTCATTTGAACTTGTAATGTGGCGTATCATTTCCCAGTCCTGGGTTGCAACTGGAATGGCTGCGTAAAACATATGTCGGAATAGATAGTGGTTCATTTAGCTATGGCGTCCCCCAATAAAGGGGGACTAAGCTAAAGGAAAATGAATGAATGGATAGATGAATGAATAAATGTGGCATATCATGAATTGTTTCTCTAAATTTCTCTAAATTTACAAACATTTTAATTGAGTGGTGTTAAATAATAATGTACTGTAATGTCTATTTTTTTTTTCTTATTTAGGAACATAAAGGATGTTCTGAGCTGTTTCTCAGACTCTCCTCCATCAACTCCAACCTTTCCTGAAGGGGGGAACCCTGTGCTGTATAGAGAGGAGGACAGCAAGGTGAACGTGGCCTTAATGTGTCAAACTAGCAAATAAATAAAATGTTTCAATCAAACTTTAATAAAGAGTGATGGTAAGATGTCCCTGGTTTAGATAATCTTTGTGAACAACATGTTTAGGATAACTTTTTTTTTTTTTCATTGTGATTCAATGATAAACATGACTGAATTTTGAAGCCAAATGCATCAGACAGAAGTATATGTACATTATAAAGCTAAAAGTTGTATATACCCGAGTTGGAAACAACTTTAAGGAGTTTTGGAATTTAAGACAGTTAGCCAAAAATCCCTGAATATTTGACTTTTTAAAACAGAGTAGAACTGATAGTGCTAAAATGCTAACTTCAGGGTTCATATGGTCATGGAAAACCTGGAAAAGTCATGGAATTTTGACATGGAATTTTCCAGGCCTGGAAAAGCCCACAAGGTTTTGGAAAAGTCATGGAAATTACATTTACATTTAGTCATTTAGCATTTATCACACTAGATCTTGTGATTTCGAAATTCTGTCGTATAACGCTGCGAAAAGGGGAGGTATTAAACAATATGATTAGACGTTAATAAAAGTGAGCGATTGCTCCATATTTTACATTTCTTATTTTCAGTTATCTTCTATTGATATTACTGATGTGATTTCGCAGATAAGAATTCTCCAAACTTGAACTTTAGAATGCAGTGAAATGTAAAACTTGATGTACGTGCTTGCATTTCTGGTCTGCCTCATTCGCATGCCTATGAATGGAAGTCTATGGAGCGAAAAGTGCAGTGTGATTGCATCTTTACAATAGAAGTAGTTTTACTTACTATTGATATTTTAACAAACTTACCATTATCTAAAATTAGTTTGACAAATATGTGCATACTTGATTGGAGGTTGGTTGTTTTTACATCTTTTCTTTTTTCGGCCAAAAACATGGTCTTACATCATTACTGCTGTGTAAGCATTATCTATTTTACATAGATATAAAAATCAATTGAAACTAAAAAGATTATTGCGTGTTTTATGATATGCTGTAATAAATGTAAATGTACATTGTTTTTCTGATGATTTACCATGTAAGCGAAGACATTACATGAAACATTAGGTCATAAAAATGTACTTGAGTCCTGGAAAAGTCATGGAGTTTTTGTAGTAAAAATGTGTATGAATCTTGTAACTTGCTTCTGAATTTCGACCCATCAAAATATCTGCCTGCAACACACTCTAGGATTGATGGAACTACTGAATTAAAATATATCCTTGTCTGTCCCTAGTTTTGAATGTTTTTTTCTTCTCTCTTTTTCGCTGTAGAGCATTCAAGATGAGCCCATTCATATTCTTAATGTGGCAATAAAGACGGACAGTGATATTGATGATGATGGGCTGGCGGCCATGTTTCGTGAGTTTACACAGTCTAAGGTGAAGGAAGTTGTTCTGCTCTCTATGGGTTGCCTGTTTTTATTGGACATGTTAAAGTAATGTCTGACTCAGTAAGTTCAATTCTGATTATTTCTACTACAGAAATCTCTGCTGTTTGACCACGGCATCCGAAGACTTACCTTCCTGGTTGCTCAGAAGGTAAGCTTTCAAAGATGACTTTTGAGCATGCTTCTGATCTCCTGAAATCAGATTATATAATCTGCAATCGGTTAATTTGAATGACAGTAAATGATTGACTTCAGTTCTGCTCTGCTAACTGCATGTATGTGTGTTTGTCTTGGTACCGTTATTAACAGGATTTCAGAAAGCAAATCAACTGTGAGGTGGACCAGAGGTTCCATGTAAGTCATTGTGGAATGTTTTAGACATTGGTACTGTTCCACAACCTACTGAGCTGTTTTGCTGTCAACCTTTTTGGCAGCATCTTAACCAATATAGAACTTCACAAATGACTTAACTGAAACACTCATTCAAGCATACACTAGCAGTGTTGCTCTGCTAATGATTCATTTTTCATTATATTATATTATATTATATTATATTATATTATATTATATTATATTATATTATATTATATTATATTATATTATATTCATTTTAAACAATATGGAACTTCACAAATTACTTAACTGAAGCACTCATTCTAGTATATACTAACAAAGCTACTTCTCTGCAGAGTGTGATTAAACATTGCTAACAGTTCATTCTAGTAGAGGTCAATAAGTGTTGCTATGCTAATGATTCACTTCTTATTTTCATTATATTGGATTATATTATATTTTATTATATTACTCTATATTATATTATATTATATTATAATATATTATAATATATTACTCTATATTATATTATATTATATTATATTATATTATATTATATTATATTATATTACTCTATATAATATTATATTATATTTTATTATATTACTCTATATTATATTATATTATAATATATTACTCTATATTATATTATATTATATTTCTCTATATTACTCTATATTATATTATATTTTATTTAATATATATTACTATATATTATATTAAATTATATTATATTACATTATATTATATTAATTTATATTATATTAATCAATATGGAACCTCACAAATGACTTAACTGAAACACTCATTGAAGCCTACACTAGCAGTGCTACTTTTCTGCAGTGCATGATTAGACATTGCTAACAATTAATTCTAGTAGAAATCAATATTAAAGTGTTGCTATGCTAATGATTTACGTCCAAAATCAACATGCCGCACACATTGTTCAATTTTAAGAAGACGTTGATTTGTGATTTTTGATCAATTTTTACTATCCTAGATGTTAGCATGTTGCTAAGCTCATGAACTAATGCTCTAAGGCCGTGTTTACACTAAGTGAAGTTTATTCTAAAACTGATTTCGAGAGGAGCACTTGATTATAATTGAACACAGCTGGTCTCGCATTAACTAACGCATGGTTATTAGATGTTCACAAACTCACTATAAATAGCTAGAGTGTCTTACTAAAGTTATCTTCTACTTGAAGAATCCCCCCTTCCACCCCTACTGCCGCACCTTTCCTTTTATAGGGTGGCATGGAGGCCTAGTGGTTAACGCTGTTGCCTCACAGCAAGAACGTCACTGGTTTGAATACTTAACAAGCCAGCTGTCGTTCCTCTGTGGAGTTGACATGTTTTTCCTGTGCTCGCATGGGTTTCCCTCGGGTTCTCGGGTTTCCTCCCATTGTCCAAAATTATGTCATAATCAAGTTGATGAATCTAAGTTAGCACTAGTCAAGCTCTTAACCAGCTGGATATCTCTACTAGGGAGGCAACAGTAGTTAGCCCACGGTTAACAATAGTTAGCTCACGGTTCAATACATACCTCTGTTTTTAACACTGTTTTTGGTTCGGTTCTCATGGCTTGACACGTGTTTTTTTTTATTTTATTCTATAGGCAATAGATAAGAGGTTAAGGAGAAAAAATAAAAACGATTTATTGCAATACTCATTTTGTTTTACTTAAAATTAAAGAAAAGGACAGTAGTTCCTGGTGTTTTGTATAAAAAAATAAAACTGAAATCTCACAGCTGCTGGTAGTCCATGTACAAACTGGGGAACATAAAATCCTACACTTTGAAAATAAACATACATGTGAAGTTAATAAAGATAAATTGGCCATTTCAAATAAACATATTTGTACTTAAGTAAGCATAAATAAACCCTCTTAATTATCTCAATGCTGAAAAAATGCAAGACTGTAGTCTGTAACACGAATTGAGTGCTTTTATAAAATGACAAAAACCCACATCTCCCATCACTGAAAACGGCTGCAAATCTTTAGCAATAAACACCCGCTCTGCCCTTGTTAATTTATGTGTCTCTCGGAACCAATTGGGTATGTTTGCTTGAAAGATTCAGCGATGAATTGTTGCTATTTGGAGGACTTTATTACCTTTTCTGCTATCCTGCCTTCAGACAGTGATATTGCTGGGTGATGACGCTGCAGATGTGCAGTCATGGTTATACATGTAAAACAATGCTTGCGCACAGTTATTTTTTGTTCACTGTCTTTTCTTTTATTGGCATTATACTTACCGGCCAAACTGAAATGTCCTCACATCGAAGATTTTAAAGATGCTGGCGCTTTCTCTTTCTGTTGCCTCACTTCGCCGGCGCTTCCTTGTACTGATGCCTCAGCCTCACTTCACTGCCGCTCGCAATGTTAAAGTGTGGAATGAGGGTCAAGCGCCCCTAACTTTAGAGCACAGTAATTTGGATAATTTACTCACAGGGAGGAGTTTCCTTTTCTCAGCTCATGGATTTAGAGGCACACACAGTCAATTGGGGGAGATGTTGGGGGAAAACGCACATAAATTATTTAAATGCAAAACCGAGAAAACCACAATTCACAAGTGCATATTGAACCGTGGAGGTCGTACCGTACGGTTCAATATTATATTGAGAACCGTGGCATCCCTAATCTCTATAATTGATATGTAATCTACCATCAGCCCTTAGCAAAGGTGGGAATTCTTAAAACCTACCTAAGCTCAAACTACTCTTTCGCCCTGCAAATGAGAGGGAGCCCTGAGCTCAAGGATCTTATGAGCTCAGGGCTCTCTCCCAGGAAACTCGCTTTATAATTAATCATGAGCTAGGTATAAAGTCTTAAATATGTTTTAGTTTTAAAGTGGATAAGTTTTACTACAGGTATGTTTACAATCATATGAAAACATGATATAAAGAACTTTCAGCAGACAGCAAGAATGGTGAGGCATCGTGTAGCTACACTGTATGCATATTTACAAATAAACAGAGCCTAACATAACTGCCTCCATTCATTTTCTTCTAAAAATACAAAACATACTCTCTCTTTTGTTGAATATCAGTTTTAATAATCAATAATGATCATTGTAATAGTATAATGTACAATAAGTTTATACATTATAGCAAATTAAGGCAAGCAAATGGGTACACAAATTAATTTCTTTGCACCAAAATACACCTGAAAACAAGTAAAAGGTTCAAAAGAGAAAAGTGTTGTTAGATAAAGACAGGATGAATTATCAAGTTTACCAACTATAGTAAGATGAGATCCAGCGGTATATCCTTGATTAACTGTCCAACATGCGCTGCTCTTACCTGGGGTTTTGTGCTCAAAACACCCGTTGACTGCCTGGAGCTCAGTCACGTGATGTGAGATCTTTTCAGAAACTCTAGGTGATAAGCCAGTGTGGACGTGGACTGTTTTCGTTCTAAAACATCGTTTTAAAACAGTACTTGTGTAAACGGGGCCTAATAAGTGTGCAATTTGGACTGTCGGTTGATTTAAAAGATGCATGACACTGTTTGCTGATTAATCAGTGTTTTAAATGACAAATATTGTCATATATCAATATTTATGAAGAAATTAAGGTTAATAAAACACAAAATGGTTAACAATTTAATTAATATTGCCCAAAAATGGCTTCATAAATCAGTATTGATGTTGGTGATATTTACATTTAATTGAACATACCGTTCCACATTTACGTTTATTATGAATTTAATGTTTAGCATTGAAATGTTATGTTTTTGACTCCCAGCTTTTGGAACAGAGCCATTACAAGTGGTCTCTAAATTATTAATTAACCTGTTTTCTGATATAATCTCAAAGCTTGTTTTACTTCACTGCTAATGTCTAATGTCTTATATTTCACAGAGAGAATTCCCCAAATTTTTTACATTCCGGGCTCGAGACAAGGTGAGTTATGTTTCACACAAGACTACCAATGACCGGCACAAAAGACTGTAAGCCTTTTAAATGCAAGTGTTCATTAAATTCATCAGCAGCTTTATGTTTAAAGGGGGAAAGTACAATAGGAAAATGAGGAGGAAGAAGAGAGAAAGCTGTTATATTCCTCAGTTTCTTGTCTTTTCTGTGCGAGTCACTCCATCATGATCAGTGGCGTTTCTCTGGCTTCATTCAGCCCTGATAGTTTGCTAAAATGGTTCCAGCAAAGCTCATTACATTAATGAACTTTTTAATTATTTGTCTCATTTGAGAGGGATGACATCCATTAGCTACTGTGATTACCTACATTTACTAAATCTAGCCTGCTATTATAGCTCACGGGCACTCTCTGCTCTTGTAGACTCACTTGCTCTAAATTTAAAAGGAGCAATTTCATATGATTCATATTTTCTATTTTATTAAGTCTTGTTTCGTTAAAATTATGCCAGAGTGTTCATGTGATCTTTAGGTAAAAGATTTATGTTCAAAAAAGAAGTGCATCCAACTTTATATTTTTATTTTATTTTAATTTTATTTCATTTAATGATTTTTTTTACCTCCTTTTATTTTTATTATTTAATTTTATTTTTTAAGATTTTTTATGGTATTTTTAAATTTGATTTTACTTTATTCATTCATTAATTGATTTTCTTTTTGGCATAGTCCCTTTATTAATCTGGGGTCGCCATAGCGGAATGAACCGCCAACTTATCCAGCATATATTTTATGTAGCGGATGCCTATTTTATTTATTTACTTTTATAAATTTGTATTAATTCATTTTTATTTTATTGTATTTTTTATTTAATTTTACTTAGATTTTATTTTATTATTTTATCTTATTTTTTAATTTAATTGGATTTTTTCATTTATTTTTATTTTTATTTTATTGCATTTTTAAAATTTTGTATTAATTTAATTTAATTTTCTATTATTTTATTTTATTTTAAAATTTTATTTTACTTTAAATTTTATTTAGTTTTTTTAAATTTTTTATTAGTTTTTTTATTTTATTTTACTTTAATTTTTTTTATTTTATTTTTTATTTGACATACATGTGCATGCAAATAGAAATTAATCTTTGCACAAGGCTAGAGCAAACCACTGCGTTTATGAAAATATTTTTTCTAAGGAGTACATTTTGAGTTCTAGTACTTAATTAATACTAGTTAATATTTTAGATATTTTTCCAATTGTCAATTTGTTTATTTGTTTTTTTTAGTTTGAGGAAGACCGTATCTACAGACACTTGGAACCTGCATTAGCTTTCCAGCTGGAGCTCAACCGCATGCGTAATTTTGCACTGACAGCCATCCCCTGTGCCAATCATAAGATGCACCTGTACTTGGGAGCTGCCCGTGTGGAAGTAGGCACTGAGGTCACAGATTACCGCTTCTTTGTGCGGGCAATCATCCGTCACTCAGATTTGGTCACCAAGGTAGGAGAGTCTCTGCTGTCTGAGATCACCTTCAAAAATCTGATTAGGTGTTTGATACTGTTTGGTTCTATGCCGTGTAGGAAGCATCATTTGAGTACCTGCACAACGAGGCAGAACGCTTGCTGCTGGAGGCCATGGATGAACTGGAAGTGGCTTTCAACAACACCACTGTGCGAACCGACTGCAATCACATCTTCCTCAACTTCGTTCCAACAGTCATCATGGACCCTTCAAAGGTTTTAATAAGTTTGATTGGATTTTCTTGTTTCGTTGGTATACTGTATACAGTACTGAGAGAAAGTTTTTTGAGAAAAAACAAAAGAAAAAATAACTTTTTCACAGTACTCTATATATCAATACTTTATTTTCGGTGTCTTTATTAAGATACAAACAGAAAATATGGGAAGTATGTACACACACACACACACACAAACACATACACAGACACAGACAAAAAAGAAACAACAGCACAATTTTCACAATAGAATTACTTTAAATACTACAAAACTCAGTGTTTATGATCTTTCTTTGGATGGAATTTCTGAACAGTTCTTTTGGGGAGACTACCTAATTTGTTTTATTATAAGCTATTAAAGATAAATTATATAAATTAAATTAAATGCTATAAATTATATAAATAAGCACGTTCAGCACTTCCCAGAGATCTGCTTTAGATTTGGGCTGTCATAACTTTCTTTTTCTGTTCAGGTGGTCCCATACCGCCTCTATAATATTCAGGTCTGGACTTTGTGGGGGCCATTTCATGACTTTGTCTTTTTCCTCCAAATAGGATTTCATTGCATTAGCAGTGGGTTTGGGATAATTCTCATGCTGGAAAAACTAACCCATTAACAAAAAGACTTAAATGCACGGCATAATAGACTAAGACCTCTCTGTACTTTTTTCAGCATTCAGCAATCCCATCAATACAGACAATTTTGAAAACAACACTGGCCGAAATGCAGCCCCAAACCAGGACAAACCAGAGACTCCAACATGTTTCACTGAAGGCTGCAAGCACTCATTTTTCATTCTCTCTCCAACTCTGTCCAACTTCTATGTATTTAACAATTAGACCAAAAAACTACATCTCTAACCTATATTTCTTTTTGTAATGTATTAAGGACAATAAGATAACTATATTTGGTTTAGGGTTGTGCCAATAGTCTATGAATGCACTTACACTATGCTATCCGAACCATGCCCAGGCGCATTTCCCAGTTTGTTTGACAAGTGTGAGTGTTCCGAATTGAGCAAAAGCATGGTTCAGTTGACCGGCCCTGGCCTGGTTGGAAGAGGTGTGCCAGATGGTGGTTCGGTTGAGCTTTGGCACGATACGGTTGTAGTGTGAGTGCAAAGCACACATGAGCCTGAAACTGAAGATGTGATGTCACTTTGAAGAGACTATTATGTATGGATTTGTTAATCATTCTTACTTCACAATGAACGCAAACTGTTATAATTTAGTAAAGATACCAACCCCTTACTGCACATCAGCTGCACCTTCAGCAAACCTCCTAATACATACAGCACAATGACTTTTATGATAATTTATGGGAGTCAAAAGTTGTGGAATCTGTTTGACACAATATTTGACTGTGTGTTACTGCATCCCAAACAACTAAAAATAATACAAAACAATATAACTGAAGCAATCTCCACTGTGCTGAGTGAGAGCGCTTTGCTTCCTGTTAAACTAAACAGTTGCATCATCAATGACATAATCGTGTGATGTGTGAGGGTAGGCCATCGAGGGAGAGGGGAGGGGGAACAATCCCGCTTCAGCACGGTTTGAGGCAACTGTACCCAGTGTGAGTACGTCCTATGTCATTATCCATCACTGATGGTTGACAGACATTACGATGTTGAGCTGGCATTGCGATAATCCACCACCGCAACAGCAACAGTCTAACTTGAAATATGCAATGAAGACTTGCAAGTGTTCGAATGCATTCAAACGGCCACCTGCAGTTTGCCTGCTTTCTGCCTATTGAGCTCATTTTTAACAGAGTGAGGCAGGTTGTTGGAAGGAACACTCCTGCCTTCTTGTACGACCCAATGTACTTGAATGAATCACATGACATTATTTGTAGCTATACCTGTAACTATATAATGTAGGTCTATATGTAATGAATAAAATATATTACAAGACAATAGAATGCAAGCAAATATGTTGAAGCGGCAAGAGAAGCAATCCATTAGAAGTAGGGGTGTAACGATTTATCGTTGTACGATTTATTGCGATGCTAAAATGTCACAATATGCATCGTGGCGTAATGACGATTTGATTAAGATATGACGTCCGTTTTCTCTTATTAGTTGAGCTGTTTGCACGTGAGTTCAGATTGCAGCAGCAGTAATGTTAGCAGACCAAGATGAGTGGAGTTGAAATAGAGGATGGCCCATCCTCTCAAAATCAGACGTCTGGCAACATTTCGGTTTTACAGTCATTGCTTTAGACTCGTCCGCTTTTTGACACGCATACTGGGTCAAACATAGCCTAAGTTTTAAAAACTTCACAGTGATTTACATACTTTGCACAGCGACATGGATACCTCCTAATGGTGTTGAAAGAGTCGCATACTGTATTTATAAGGTACAATTCACCCTAAAATATCATTCTGTCTTCATATAATGATGTATTGGCGGCAGCAAAATCACACATGACGTGAGCTGACCGTGAGCTGTTACTACAGAGGGCGGACTATGATAGATGCGCGCAAGCGCAGTGAACAGAACCTGCAGGTTGTGACTAACAGGTAATATAGTAAACAACATTCAGTTTGTGGAACAGAGTGATCATTCAGGAGCCACGTGGGAAGAATGAACAGCAGTGGAAATGAAACCGAAAGCGTGCACATAATTTAAATAATCATATCGCATTTTAGAGTTATGATTACGACGAGCATGAACTCTTTTGAGTACAGAGGTACACAAAAATGCACGTCAACATGATATACTTGATAGCGCCGACATCAGCAACGCCGAAGAAATAGTAAACCTGCCTAAACTGCTGAAAAGAGCCACGACTGTCCTGTGTAATGAAAAGACGGCCACCCTGTCACTCATCATGCCCAACATGAAAACAGCCATCCATAAAAACCTCTCAGACAGATACACATCAGTTGAGGATTATTTTATAGAACTGCTGATTACCTGGAAATGTAGATTGCACACAAAAAACGCAAGTGACCAAGCAAAGCCTTAAGCTCTTACTGTTAAATTCAATTAAATTGAATAATTTCAATAATATTTTTCAAGAAGTTTTTAAATTGTTTTATTTTCCAGAGACAGTCCTGTTTAATTTATTTTCTTAAAGAAGGTTCGGTTTAACAAGTTGAAACAAAAGAAATACATAAAAAATAGTTTACTTGGTAATTTTTTTTTTTTAAATAAAATTTGCATTTCAGTTTAATTTTCAATTTTTATTCCAAATATCATGATGCATATCGAATCGTGAACATTATATCGTGATACAAATTGTATCGTGAGCTAAGTGTATCGTTACACCCCTAATTAGAAGCATTTTGTGAGTGCACCAAACATCTAAATCTAAATGCAAGAATCTGAAATCATTTTATTTGTTATTAGATTACGACTAGCTTAGATTTTTTTTCAGCCAGAGTGGCTGTTCAATTATTTAAATCTTTAGGTTTTATAAATGCTTTTCTTTTTAACCATGTGAAGAAACACTAATTATAAGATTAATTTAATTTAATTTCTATTGCTAAAATCTTATTCTACTATTTCTGGCTGTTCTGTCTTAAAATATGTTCTGAAACAGCCTACTAAGAAAGAAACTCAAATAGGTTTTGGATGAGTAAATGGCGACATAATTTAAATAGGCTAATTGCAGACAGGAACAGGATATATATATATATATATATATATATATATATATATATATAAATTGTTACATTTATTTGATGGATAAAAATGTATTATTATTACAAAAATCTCTATGGGCCCTATCATACACCCGATGCAATAAGACGCAAGACTTGTTTGGCACGATTAGTTGCTATTTTCAAACCAACGCAGCCTTAATTTATTTGATTTGCACCAAGTTGTTTAAATAGCAAATCCATTTGCTCCACTTTGTGGACTCATGGGTGTTACAGTCTAAAAAGGAGGTGTGTTAAGGCGTATTGTTGGTGCATTGCAATTGACCAACTGAAAGCAGTTCTTAATCCCAGCGCAGAGTGCGTTAGTTGTGCATATTCAATGCAAACACATTGCTTAAAACACACAGGATGTACAGCAATACACAAATATCTTTACAATTGAAAAATTAAGAAATATTTTTTTCTACACAAATATAAAAACCACTACCTCCATGCCTCATCTGGGGGTCTTTTTTCAGTTTATTATTATTAATTCGCTTTAATATAATGTTATTATTAGTAGTATTATTATTATTTATTATATACATATTTATATTTGTTTTAATAAAAACAAGCTTAGATTTGTCCACATGTCAGGTTTTGGACCATATGGGGCATAGGACATGTTTTTGGATATAACTTTGAACAGACTTCCTTATTATTTTTCATTTGTTAATTTTCTGGCAATTAGAAATTAATTTGGAAATAGTTTTGAAACAAATCTTTGCACTTAACAAATGGAATAAATATGTAGGCTAATGGATGTCTTTAGTGAAGTGTGTACACCACCGTTTTCTTACTCCATGAAAGTAAAAGAGTAAAGAGTAAAAGTAAAGAGAACGTAAAGAGGCCGATTGGAGGAGGCTCGTTTGTTCTTTATCCTCTTGCTGCAGATGGTCTGTTTAACTGTAAGTGGAAAAACTGAATGCTTTACTAGCCGAAAAAAAGGCCACCATGTAAATAGCAAATGCACCATGGTGTGACTCAACTGACTCCTAAAGGAAATGTGAGATAAGACTCTGATTGGTTTACTGCAAGTTATGCTCAAAACACCTATAACTCATTAAGAGGATAAGCAGAACCCTGTTAGACCATGTGCTGCGGCGTAGATCGTATCTTTCTGTCCTTAAAATAGCAGAAGTGGATTTGGACATGTCCCTAATACTTTGCACCGTGTGCTTTAGACTTTGTACCTAGATTGATAAAACTGATATGTTAAAACATGTATTTGCTTTCACCATGCCCCAAAGCCCCGATGCATCGTCCATCAAGATGTTTTACATTAGACATTGTATGATGCTTTATTGGTCAACATTGCCCAACCTTAATATGGTTCTTATACTATAACTAAACAAACAAATGTAATGGTGGCCTCAAACTTTAGCACAGTGCTGTGTTTGCAAGTGTTTTAAGCTCTTGTCTTCTTATCAGATTGAGGAATCTGTGCGCTCCATGGTCATGCGCTACGGCAGTCGCTTGTGGAAGCTCCGTGTGCTTCAAGCCGAGCTGAAGATCAACATCCGATTGACTCCCACCGGCAAACAGATCCCCATCCGCCTCTTCCTGACCAACGAGAGTGGCTACTACCTGGACATCAGCCTGTACAAGGAAGTCACTGACTCCCGTACAGGACAGGTGGGGCACAAAGACCGACAGGTGGGGCTCACGTGTCTCTCATTCACACAAACGCACAAACACCCTATACACATACCGCTACAACAGTTTTAGGAATTCCTCACACATCGTTGTTTGATAGCCATTTTTGACATTCTGTCAGTTTTAAGTACAGCACCAGTCAAAGGTTTGAACACACATTTCCAATTATTTATTTTGGCTGTTTTTCTGCATTTAGAGTAAAGTTTTAAAATCATATAAACAGCAGTAAAGAAATGATGTTGTCATTATATTGGGATTTTAAATTCTTATTTTTTATCTAACTGCAACTGCCAAATACTTCTATGTAGCCATTTTTTTTTTTTGTATTGTCTGTGAAGCCAATTTTAAGCATTTAACAACAAATTGTTTACGTTTTCATGCATTATAGAGAAGTCTCTTATGTTCGAGGTCTAATTATTTATATATATATATATATATATATATATATATATATATATATATATATATATATATATATATATATATATATATATATATATATTTGTATAATAATAATATAATATAATTACAATAATTATTAAGTACTTTTAATACATTTTAAGTTCTTATTTCTGTGATACCAAAGCTGAATTTTCAGTAGCTATTGTTGTTTAAAAAGCCCCTATTAAGGGTTTTTGAAAAATACGTTCCATGCGGTGTGTTACGGCTCTAATTGAAGTGAAATATCCAGCTAAGGCTTAAATCTCAAAGTGCACTGTTTAAAAAAAAAAATAGATTCATCTATAAAAGGGTTGACTCAAAGTAGTTTGAATGACTTGTCGAGGTAAAGTATCTTTAGCTGTGTTGGCGTGACGTCGATACGGAACTCAAGCCCTGCCCGTTTTTTGCGCATACACACCAGGAAAAATTTAAACCTCCAGCCTCGCCCACAAACGCTGTAAGAAAAAAAAAAGAAGACAAACACTGTAGCAGATCCTGGTTGAATCATGTCGCGATTACGCTGTGCTCTGAAATGTATGGGGAAATGTCCCTTTCCAAAGATGAGGCTGTGAAGAGTCAGTGGTTGAAGTTTGTTTTTGCAAAAATACCTGAGCATTATAGCCCCAGCCTTGTGCTGTGCTCCTGTAATTTATCTGACGAGTGCTTCAGCAATCTACACCTCTACAATGGAGGATTCGTCGGCTGTTTGTTAAAGGAAGGATCAAAAGCAACTATTGACGTATGGGACATTGACAGAGCTTGACAGGAACTTTACAGTACACAGAAACTCACGATCTTCTGCTGTTTGTCTTTGCTATGGCCACCGTCAGCTGTTCTTATACACATGCAGAGGTCAAGTTTTAACTTTTGCCACTGTGTGGATTAATACTGAATGTGTGTCGTTGTTATTACTTTGGTTTGGGGTTAAGAATACAACAATATGCTGGTGTTTAACTGCTTTGCTTTAATGTTTTCCTGCATCGGTCTCACACATACACTCTGCACTCTGACTGCTTCAAAATTGTTGATAAGCCGTGGTGAGCAATTCTCTCTGTCTTGCGCTGAACGCAGTTGACCAATCAGCACAGATTAGCATCGTGCTAAGGAGGGGTTTGGGAACAAATGAATCGCTGAACGGATCATATGAGAGTCGTCGGGATGATTGGGTAAAAAAACAATGAAAGTGTAAAATATGAACTTTTTAATGCATAATGGGGGCTTTCTATTATATCCAATGTCACATGATCTTTTAGAAATCATTTCTTTTTATTAATGATCTTTCTTAAACACTTTTGTTGCTTTAATATTTGTGTGCAAATTGCAAAGATATACATATATTTTTTTAATACAAATATAGTAAATTATTACAATTCTGTGGGTTCAAACACATGACTGGTACTGTACAGGCTTTCATTACTGTGAGGCAACAGTTACACAATTTAAAATTTGTTTACTAATATTATTCTTTTAAATGTGAATGATTTGTTGTTATTCTAATCTATCTAAATATAAACATGCTTTTTACATGAAAGTAAATTAAATTCATACACATTTGCAAATAACGGCAACAGTCAGAGCTATTTTTTCATCAACCGTTATGTATGTCTGGATGTGGGTTAATGGATAGACTTTTGGATGTTTTTACCTCTCTCTGACTGGTTGACTTTCTCTTGTCTTCCATTTTTCCTGTCTTTAGATCATGTTCCAGGCATATGGAGATAAGCAGGGTCCTCTTCATGGCATGCTCATCAACACACCCTACGTCACAAAAGACCTGCTGCAGTCCAAACGCTTCCAGGCACAGAGCCTCGGCACTACCTATGTTTACGACTTCCCAGAAATGTTTCGCCAGGTACTGGAATAGTAGTGTAATCCACTTTATGATATAGTTATAATTTTAAATTAATGCATATTAATGCCATTACAGATTTCTTTTTGAAGCATCTGTATATATGGAATTTGTCAGCAAAGCATTATATATATATATATATATATATTATACAAACAATTTCACACGAGTAGCATTGCAGGCACCAGTGACGAAATGCAGCCACATCGCACTGCTACAAATGTGATCTTGCATTTATACAGCAGTTCAACACCATAATCGTGTATATAAAAAAGAAAATCAAACACGAGTCTAAAAACCTTTTTGTATGAGGAACTACTTTCTTCCGTCATTCATTTACATCTGCAGCTGACGTCAGAATACCAAACTGTTGCTACTTCAGCAACATATTTAAATTATTCTTTAGCATAATGTCTAAAGTGATGACAAAACAGATGTTTTTGCTCACATTTTAAGATTATAAGGCTGAACGGCATGAAATGTCATAAACATAGACAGTCTAGAGACATTTCCCAGTATTTCTCTGACTTTTTCAGGGTTAATCATTGTGATCTCCTGATTGCAACAAAGCAACGCAATAACTACCAGATTACTGTTGTGTTTGCGATAAGAAAAAACGCTTACAAAGAATGCCCAACACAAAATTCATACATTTCTGATATGTGAATCTCATCTCACATTTAATACACTACAATTACTATGGTATAAATACAGCATTACAATATAAACAAGAGAGAGATCGACTTAGAATGTCACTTACCTGTTTTTATAATGATTTGATCAGCTGTAGTTTGAAATTACGCTGTCTATATCCTCTAACGGTTTATTATGCGGTTTCGGTCACCATCTTGTGGATGAACAGCATTAAGCGTCTTTGCTCTGCTCGAAAACAGGCTAATGGCTGCCGACGCGCTGTCTCTCAGAAATGATAAATATTTAAAAATAGACAGTTTTCTTATAAATAAACTGCATAGTTGCAAACTAAACAACTACATATTTGACAAAAAGCCTTAAAAGTACATTATGTTGTCCAACAGCTGCAATATTTGTCAAACTGTAGTGTGTCCTCTGCTTGTCGCTGTATGTGGGTGGAGTAACACGCAAGAGTGAAGGGTTGAGAGGCTGGACGAGTGCTGTCATTTGCAGATTATTGCACGACTATCAGCCAATCAGATTTAAGAACCAGACAAAACTGTTGTATAAATATACTGTAGTGCTACTTTTACTGTATTTTTTGGTAAATAAATTCATCCTTGGTGACATTAAATATCTTGCTAAACCCAGTCTTTTAAATAGAAGTATGACACTTTTTGAATTTATTTATTTTGCAAATATTATAGTTGCAGATTCCTGTGAAAGTACCATAGACAAACAAAAAAATGGTTTTCAAGTATCAAAAGTGTAATGCAGCTTTTATTCATTTTGGTTTTTTACTGAAGTAAGTATTTTGTACATACATATATACATTTTTAGCTTTGTTTAATAATGGAACAATTCATCACCCATATTTTGAGGTTTTATTTTCATAGGTTATTTATAACATTTAAAGTGGAAACTTTACTTGCATTTAATGATTTATATGAATATATAATCCCTTTTGTAATTTCTAATTGAAGCAGACCCTTATATTGATCCTTTTTTCTCACATAATAATTCATAATTTTTTGTTTTTTTGTTTAATTAAGAGCACTGCAAATAAAATAGAATTAATTTTTATTGCTTGTAATTGGTTTGTATGGTTCTTTATTTTTTCTAGGCTTTAAGGAAGCTGTGGCAATCCATGGATGCACACGCCAACTTGCCCAAGTGCCCTCTTCCATCAGAACTGCTCACCTTCACAGAGCTGGTTCTGGATTCTCAGGGTCAGCTGGTGCAGATGAACCGCCTACCTGGAGGGAATGAGGTCAGACTATACCACCTTAATTATAGTGCTTAACTTTTTTTTAACACTTTTTTTCCTCAAAATAAAAAGATCATCTATGCAATTTTCTTGCTCATTTTCAAAAAACAATCATGTGCAGTACACCTTGCAGACTCAAGGGGGCCCCTTTGCTTATTTAATGTTGGTTTGTGTGGCTTTATTCTGTCTCAACTTTATTGTTAGTACAAAAAAAAAAAAAAAGATTTTTATGATTTTCTAGATTGGCATGGTAGCATGGCGAATGACCCTCCGGACCCCTGAGTATCCAGCCGGCCGTGAGATTATAGTGATCAGCAATGACATCACACATAAGATTGGCTCGTTTGGGCCACAAGAAGATGTTCTGTTCCAGCAAGCTTCAGAAATGGCAAGAGAAAGTGGCATTCCACGGATCTATATTGCTGCCAACAGCGGAGCTCGTATAGGCCTGGCAGAGGAGATCAGACACATGTTTCATGTGGCCTGGCAGGATCCGGTGGACCCATACAAGGTTTGGAGTGGCTCCAGGGGAAGGTGATCATTAATGTAGTGGTTATCTTCTGGATAGGTGTCATAATCAGTGTCATTTCCTGTTGATTTTGTAGGGTTTTAAGTACCTATACCTCACACCACAGGACTATAAGAAGGTGTCTGCTCTGAACTCAGTCCACTGTGAACATGTGGAGGATGAGGGGGAATCCAGGTGAGTTATTCTAGTTTTTTTTTTAAGCAACCTTTTACAATAAAAAAAATTCAAATGTATTTGACTATTTATTTTGACTGTTAAAGTCATTTTTAAGAATGAATATTTTAAATAATGGTGTACACACACAGGATTGTTGGTTTAGAAAAAAATTAAACAAACATAATCCTGTACATATTGTATATTGTAAAAAAAATTATCAAGAAAACATGTTAATACTTCAAAAAATAAAGATGGTTTAGTATTAAAAAATGTTTTATTTTAAATATATATTTTTAAATATATTGGTCTCACACTTCTTTTTTGGGATTTTAATAGTGTATGTATTAATTCTGGAATATTTACCACAAACCGGAATATCAACCTCTACCAAATGGTTGATATTTTAGAAATGATGTGTTGAAAATAAAAAATGCAGAGTGTCTTAACTTTTTGTTTTTTTTGTTGGTGGGTCAGTTAAAGGGTTTTTACCAGTTTACTCCCTATGACTAAGACAAATCATAAAAAAGTTTATGCATGTATATTATTTAAATTATTAGCCACCCCTTGATTTTTTTTTTCTTTTTCAATTATTTCTTAAATGATGTTTAACAGAGCAAAACATTTTTCACAGTATGTCTGATAATATTTTATCTTCTGTAGAAAGTCTTATTTGTTTTATTTCGGCAAGAATAAAAGCAGTTTTTAATTAAAAAAAAAAACATTTTGAAGTCAAAATTATTAGCCCCTTTAAGCTATATTTTATTTTGATTCTATTAAATAAACTAGTAAGATTAAGCAGTCATAAACTGCTTTTGGTGGCGGTGTTGTGGTAATGTTCCTGCTTCCCATATTAGCAGTAAAAATATTTAAAATGCTAGGTACACAGAATAACAACCTGACGTGACCAGTGAGTGAAGATGTTACAAAAACATTTGTTTAAATTACCTTTACCTTAGTGTCTTAGAACTGTAATTTTCGTTTCGGTGAGTGAAATCTCATTTGCAGTGAAGACCAATCAAAATTTGACCTTGCCTAACAGGCATAGTTTTGCTATTTTAGATTCTAGGAAGGCAATAGATTTGAGATTTTTTTTCTAAATAACATGTTTTTTTTTTTTTTTTTATAAAATCCACTTTAAAATGATAGCAATCCGAGGGGGTGGGTTAGTGCTGGTCAGAGAGGCAATGTCTTCACATGTCCTCAAATTGCATCAGACTTTTTTTCTTATCTGATAAAACTTCAGTTGTACACATATGTTTGTTGTATGCAATAAGCATTTGTTTTGTGATATTCTAAAACACCTATAGAATAGTGAGTTTTAATTAATTTTAGTTATCTCATCTTAGACCTAAGCAGAAGTGGTTTGATGCAGTTAAGCTTTAACAAATAGTTGGACGTTGGCGCTAGTGATGTAGTGGTTATTGCGTCGACACGTGCACTCCGGTGCTTGCAGCGACCCGAGTTTGATTCCCATCACGTGGTCCAGTGCCGATCCTTCCCATCTCTCTGCTTCCTCTGCTTTCCTGTCAATACTATCCTGTCTGTCAAAGGTGAAAACCCAAAAAATAATTATTAAAAAAAATTGTTAGACTTGAAGTTTTGGGCTCTGAATTTTTTTCTTTTTATAAAGTCAGCATGAATGATTTTTAGTCATTTAAGGTAATTTTTTTTTTGTAATGTTATATAAATTCAGCCCTAATGGAATGTTTGTGTCTGCAGGTATAAAATCACTGATATCATTGGGAAAGAGGAAGGGTTGGGTGTGGAGAACTTGAGAGGTTCTGGCATGATCGCAGGTGAATCGTCACTGGCGTATGAGGATATTATCACCATGAATCTGGTATGCTAACACACACAGTCATGTTGCATCTTGAAAAAAGTACACTCTAGCTTATGAGCTAATACATTTTTAGTTGTCCAGTTTTACTTTTGTTAGAATTGTCTGGTGTGAAGAATAAGAGTCATTTGAAAGATGTTTTAAGCATTGAACTGATGAAATGTGACAGTACACCTATGTACATTTATAGTGTCACAAAATATTTCTATTTCAGATAAATGCATCACATTTCTAATTAAGAACCATAAAAAATTTTCATTGTTTCCTTAAAAAATATATATCACTTTTCCACATTCTTAATAGAATCTTGACCACCTGATTAGCATATTTAAATTATTGCTAAAGAGTCTTGTGACGCTAAAGAACGAAGGAATTACTGCTGAAAATGTTGCTTGGGGGAAATTAATTTACATTTTAAAATGTATTAAAATGTTTTGGAACAACATTTTACGACTAGGACTCTCATGATATCTATTTTTTGTTGTAAATATATTTCACCAAAATATATTGTGAAGAACAATATTATTGTAATTTTAAGACCATTTTAGGCATTTAATTATATAATCCCAGAATGGCAATATCATATCATCACAATGCAAGTACGCCCTTCCAAAGCACCATATATAAGCATATCATCATTTTTTTATTCTTTGAAATATGAAATTTAATTATGGTAATTTTAACAATTTAATAATTAAGCACTGGAATCAGAATGTGAAAACGCATATCCTCAGTAAATAATAATAATAAATGTTAACAAAAAAAAAAAGTGCAAGGTAAAAAGCTAGAGGCTGCAATATCTTCTAGCTGATCTAATTTAAGTTGTCAGACACCCACATGAAAGTATAGTAAAGTAATTTATAGTAAATACTATAGTGTGGTTTGAATCATACTGACACCTCCAAAAGAGATATAGAGATTAAAACAATTTAGAGATATAGAGAATATATTTTTTTTATGTATGGCTGAAATATATTGCATCACTAAAAATAATTAAGGTCACATCCATGTTTTGTGTCGATATATTGAATATTGTGACTGGCCTATAGGTTGTTTTCACATGATGTCATTGATGAAACGAGAAATTCAGATGAAGGGCAGAAAGCGTTTCTTCTACGTAGGAATCGCAATCAGAACATCCAAAGTTTCTGGTTTATGTTGTTTATAATTGTTGAAATCTGCCAAAATAAGAAATATTATAGACTTCCAAAAGTTTTTGCTCATAAAGGGGGGAAAGTTCAAGATACCGTTTGAAAAGTGGAGGAAAAGGCGACATGTAATAACTTTTTTTTCATATAAGCATGTTTTGAACGCGATAATTTGATTGACAGCACCAATAAAGGTTATATACAGGCCTAGCTAAGTCTATAAATATGTAAATGTGCTATATAAAAATACAAATACAAAAATAAATTAAATACAAACACCGCCATACTTTTACAAAATCCAGGATTATATAAATAATGTACTCTGCTACGTAATCGCTGCAATGAAATCTCCATCTTTACTGGCGTTTTGTCAGAATAAACAGCAGCAGGTTTGTTTGTTGATTGTAAGTTCATCGACCAAAAAAAAAAAAATGCAACCCTTGCGACAACTAGGCAGTTATTATTGTGGAGCACTTCCACCCTTGCAAAAATAAATAAATAATATTGTAGACTATGTGCCCACTTTTGTATGATTTCATCTGTTATTTTGTGATGTCTGGAAGATGTCCGCGTATATAGGGGACAAAAAAATAGTAATTTATAATAAAATATAGTAAAGTGTGTATTGTATGCAACTCTTTGTTAACGAATTCTACAGAATACTGTAGCATAGTAAACTGATTAACTGTATTAAAAACTGTAGCGTTAGTGTAAACTGTGGTGCATCGTGGTGGTGTAACTGAAGCCTATTAAATAATTGATTTATTACTACAGTTGTGTCATACCACAGCAACAATATAATTACTACGATAGTTTAATTCAAGTAATTCTCTATAGTGTACTTCCATACACTACAGTATTTACTATTGTATTTTTTTTTTATGTAATAGCTTATACAGTATATACTGCCTCGATGACAAGCAAATATATTTTATTTCAGTAGAAACTAGATCTCCTTTGAAATATGATAGAAATCGCAAAAATACGTACTTTCCCCTATGTCTCCCATTTAGTTTTTTACTTTCTGCCCTCCATCTGAATTTCACGCACCACTAGAATCACGTGATTAAAAACAACCTATCTACAATAATACTGTTTTTTTATCAAATAAATGCTGCCTAAGAGGTATATCAAATAAAAAAATTTATGATAGTATCGTATTGAATGAGTGTAGGGATTCTAAACTTCTGTGTCTGCCTTTGGTGGTCTTCAGGTGACATGCAGGGCCATTGGAATCGGAGCGTACTTGGTGAGACTGGGCCAAAGAACCATACAGGTGGAAAACTCTCATATCATCCTGACTGGAGCCGGAGCTCTCAATAAGGTCAGCAGCTGCACGTTAACATCCTATTCTTGTTATGAGGTAGAATTTCTCGCTTGTCAACTGTCTTCCTTTTTAAAGCAGTTTTTGTCATTTGCCCACAGTCTGCTTTGATTTTTTTTTTTTTCAAAGGTCTCCGTTGTTTAGTTGCTGCTATGAAAGATGGCATTGGCGCATAAATTATCTATTCACTCTGCTGATAAGGGCCCTTTAATTGGCCTCTCTTTTAATTGTGTTGAGTAATTTGATTGGGCCGAGGCAGGAATTGTGACAGGCTACCGTGAACTTCAAAAGCCTTGTGTGCGCTCAACTATGACCCAAATAAATGAATCCTTAATTCATGCAATTACCACGACTTCATTACAATATGACTTTTATGAATCAGCCAGTTTCTTATTTTGCTGGTGACAGGGATTGGATTTGGTCGGCTGTGCATTCAAGCATGCGTTAAAGGAACAGTACACACACACACACACACACACTTAGGCACTTATAGTTTTTAGCATCTGTACTCGTCATATATAATTTGACTATTTATATATAATTTGACTAATTGTACTATTTTTATCCTTGATATCATATAAAAACCTGCGTAACTTTACAAAAAATGTGTTTTATTTCTATGGAATTATTATCTAATGGTTTCAAGATCAAACAAAGGAAACAAAAATACCGTATGCGCTAGGGGTGTATCAAATCACGGTTTGATCCGTGATCCGTACGGATACAACCCACAGTTTTTAATGCACGTGACCCGCAGATTAATTTTTTTTTTTAACTTGGGTTAGTCCAACATTTACAACAAATGCAAAGAGATCACCTCCCTCATCATTCAAATCACGTGTATGAAAGCATTTTGGCTTCCCTGTAAAATATAATTATGCCAGAAAAAGTTTTGGTGGGACCTAAATGCTTTCTTGGGTTTTTAATTAAAGATGTTTTCTGTCACTGTTTGTTTAGGCTGCATTAATGTGTTCAGTGTTAGCTGCACAATTAAGTATTAAAAGATCGCAATCGCAATTTAAACTCGTGCAACATGAATGATAAATGATAATGATTTGCATATGTTTAATGCATCTTTGAAGCGCTGCATTCAAATCTGCGCTTGATCGAGTGAGATTCTGTTTTTACACCTTTTTCAGTTTGTTACAAACAATGAAATAGCACAGAAGTACTGGGAAAACAGTTTATTGTTCAGATATAAACACTGAGGTTTATGGCAAAGATAAAAATCACAGATAAATGGAACTTTAATGGAGCTGGTGAATGTTGTAGCAATTACATTGCATAACCAACAGGTGGTGACAAACAACCATCAAAATTATGTCACTGAATAAGATTTTTAAAATGATCCACCTATCATGAAACTTGAAGTTTTACAGTATGTGTCAATTGTTGAATCATTAATTGGAAATAAATATGATAAGTTATACAAGATGTTAGATATCATTATCAGCAACAGAAGCAAAGATCATTTTTCATTCTTTCTTGATTTAGATTTTTTTTTTAAATTACAGGTTCTAAGTTCTGTTTGTTAAAACCAATTGTTTTTTTAGTATAATTTTGTGTAAATAGAAAGCAAAAAACATGTATCCCCCCCCCCCTTTTTTTTTTGGTGATTCAAAAAATGGTCCGATCTGTGACTCAAAAACCGCAGTGTGATGCGAACCGTGAAATTTGTGGTATGTTACACCACTAAAATGCACCACCAATAAATCTTACTTAGATTTTTTTGGCTGTTTCTAGTCAATCTATCAATTTTCAAATAAAGAAGTATTTCCTAGACGAACTAAAAATTCTGTTCTGTTTTTAGAAATATTACGCCAAAATTAAATGGGTTTTTACTTAAAACAAGCAAAATAATCTGCCAATAGGGTGAACAAAATAATATAATTTTTTTTCGATTTGGCATAAGATCATTTTTCTTACCCCATTGGCAGAGTTTTAAGATGTTTGAACAAGAAGAAAAACAAAAAATTAAGTGAAAAAAAGCACGTTTAGTGCAAAATTAAATCAAAATAATTTTCTATAAACTGAGAGACCGTATAAAAACTGATATCTCACTTAATTTTTTTTATATTTCTTAAAACAAGACCATATTTTTTGCTCGTTTAAAAAATGCTTCTTGATTTAAGCAATTTTTGATATTTGGACAAGAAACAAAACAAAAATTCAAGTAATATTTGTGTAAAATTTCAATTCAATCAGAAACTAATTTTCTATAAACTGAAAGACTGTATAAAAACTGATTTCTCAATATAAAGACAAAGTCATCCGCCAAAATAGAAAAACATATATGTGTGTGTGTGTATTTCCTTAGGTGTATAATTCACCCCCCTCCCCCCATGTCTTTCTCTCCGTCTCCCGTCATGATGCTGGAGCTCCTGCAGGAATAATAGAAAGAGAAGCGTGAAGTTGTTATTTGCATAGAAATAGGCTGATGCCTGGGGCTGAGACCGGGGAGGGACACCCATATCATTCCTTTGAGAACCGAATGAGCACTTCTACTGCAGCAGATACCCCTGTCTCGCCCTGCCTTTCTCCTATCACTCTCTGCAGCAGTCTAGATTAGGGTTGGGAGCCGAGAAACCGTTCTTATTCAGAACAACTTTCATTGATTCTTGTATGCCTGTATCCTTCCATTGACAGAAATACTGTATTTCAGGATTTGCCATGGATACTTTTCTAGTTGTTCACTCTGAAATCCAATCCTATCTACCTTCATCTGTGAATGCCCATTAGATGTCTGTTACAGTGTTAATTTGAGCAGAACGGTGATTAGCTCATTTACAAATTCGGCGATGAGCATCACAGGTCTCAGGGTAAATCAGTTCTGCAAGTTACACTGACAGATGCTGTGCAAAGACATCAGTCACAGTTGTCTTTTGATTTAATTTGATTGGCAGTCGTAAGACAGTGGAAATCATAAATGTGAAAACTCTTCTATTAATCATTAGAACAGAAAGCAAGCATGTCACAAAATATAACAAATAAGTTCTGTTATTGTTGGAGGCAAGGTCCAGACTAAAACTAAATGTGCTGCCGGCCAGAAGTAAAATCAGGTAAATGGTGGCCAGGCTGTCCATTTAATGCCATGTGCTTTCAAAGTAGCTCTTAAGTTTAAACCATGCACGATTGAAATGTAATACTAGGTATACACTACTTGTTTTTAAAAAAAAAGTTTTTCTTAGTTGTCTTTTTTTGTTTTTCTACTCCGAATATCTATAATTATTTACATTTTTAGGACAAGCAAAACATTGTCTTATTTTCTTAAATAATATACTAAAATTAAGTGAGTTATACACTTATTGCACACTTTATTAGGTACACCTTACCGGTACCGGGTTGGACCCCCCTTTGCCTTCAGAACTGCCTTAATCTTTCATGGGATATATTCAACAAGGTACTGGAAATATTCAATAGAGATTTTGGTCCATATTGACATGATAGCATAACGCAGTTGCTGCAGATTTGTCGGCTGCATATCCATAATGCGAATCTCCCATTACACCACATCCCAAAAGTGCTCTATTGGATTGAGTTCTGGATTGAGTGAACTCATTGTCATGTTCAAGAAATCAGTCTGAGATGATTCATGCTTTATGACATGGTGCATCATCCTGCTGGAAGTAGCATCAGAGGATGGGTACCCTGTGGTCATAAAAGGATGGACATGATCAGCAACAATACTCGGGTAGGCTGTGGCATTGACACGATACTCAGTTGGTACTTATGGGTCCAAAGTGTCAAGAAAATATCTCCTTTACAATTACATCACCAGCCTGAACCAGCAGGATGGATCCATGCTTTTATGTTGTTGATGCCAAATTCTGACCCTACCATCCGAATGTTGCAGCAAATTTTTCCAATCTTCTATTTTCCAATTTTGGGAAGCCTGTGCAGATTTTAGCCTCTTTTTCCTGTTCTTAGCTGACAGCAGTGGCACCAGGTGTAGTCTTCTGTTGTTGTAGCCCATCCACTTCAAGGTTGAACTTTTTGTGCGTTCAGAGATGCTCCTCTGCATACCTGGTTATTTCAGTTACTGTTGCCTTTCTATCAGCTTCTGGTTCATGGTTGTGAAAATCCCAGTAGATCAGTAGTTTCTGAAATACTCAGACCAGCCCGTCTGGCACCAGCAACCATGCTACTGTTCTTTCCCATCCTGATGCTCGGTTTTAACTGCATCAGATCATCTTGACCATGTCAACATGCTTAAATGCATGGTGTTGCTGCATGTGATTGGCTGATTAGAAATTTGCATTAAAGAGCAATTGGACAGGTGTACCTAATAAAGTGGCTGGTGAGTATAAGATACATGAGTGAGTTTAAACTTGGTGTTGTATTATATGCCATAACTGACTCGTTTGAATTTCCTTCTGGTCAAGACGTAACTTGATTAGAGTAGTTTTGTCCCCACTTTAAACAAACAAAAACTGGTCAGCAGAAGCAGCTCAAGGCAACACTGTGTGTGCTGCAGCAATTCCTGATCCACAGCCATTCCTGATTCAGCCTCAAGCCTGGTTTATACTTGACCTGTTCACTTGAGTGTGCGCGGCGAATGTAACGTTATTGCGGAGTTTGGGGATGTTCGCTTTGGGTGCGCACGACATGATTTCGGCTGGTGGTGCACACAGCATTTTTTGAGATTTGTTCGAACAGTGTATGCAGCGCGGCGTTTAATTTGAGTCGAATAGGAAACACTTTGAAGAGATTTTGTCTGAAACAGTACGCCTGTACAGACATCTTTATGATCCCTGATCATAGAGATAACCTAATGATCAATAATTCTTGGCTAGAAATAGCAACAGCCGTGGGAAAGAAGAACATTTTTGTTAAAAGGTTTGGAAAAACCTGAAGGATAAGTTTTTAAAAAACAAAAGAGGCCGTGTGCCGTGGGCTAAATCTATTAAAAAAAAAAAAAAAAAAACATCTGTATTTTTAAGTAAGTGTGCTCTTTTATTTTTCTTTTATTCTAGCCAAAAATAAAAAATATATTTGTAGAG